AGCTAGCCCTAAAAAATGTGTGCATAAAAAATGTAGAATTTTGTTTTAATATCTTTACCCAATTAATTAAGTCAATTTATATTAATTTTTAGAGTTTTATTATACTCACCACTGGGTAAGTATACCGCCACTTACATACTACTATTTTATTATGGTCGGATCAATAGAATGAATCAGTTGCAATAATAATGATTAAAGGTTGTTCAAATCAAATTCAAATGTAGTACATTTTCCCTAATGGTTGAATTTGGGATTTCATAAATTCAAGTGACTTGCTCAATCAATTGCAGCAAAAATGGAATTATAATATAACAAAACCCATATAATAATTGTGGATAATTCAAGTTTACTTTCATATGATGAACTCTAGAACTTCAATTATAAGTTTTCTTAGAAATTCTAATGAAAATGTGTACGAGATATATAGTATACGGTTGCTGGGATTGAAACCCCTAGTTGCTTTGGTTGTTTTGGTGACGCGTCTCATATAGAGATAATGGATTGTGAAATTTCCCATAAGTATAGGGATGATAATTATGTAGCTAACTGGCTGGCTTCTCATGTTCCAATATAGGATTGGAATCTAATGGTCTTGGATTAAGTGCCTGTTTGGATCCTCTTATTTTTAAGCTAGAAGCTACTTATAAGCATAAGCTAGGCCAAACAGGTTTTGGAAAAAGCTCTTATAACGAAAAGCTCTTTTTTTTATAATGAAGAAAAAGCTGAAAATTAAAAGCTCCAAGGAGGAGCTTTTTTTTAGCTCTTATCTGTTTTTCTTGAATTGTGTGCTTTTTTTTTAAAATGAAGAATGATAAAGATAGAGAGAGAGAGATAATTTTCTTGAAATATGTGCTTTTAAGTAATTTTTAAGCTAAATTTTTTATGTAATTTCCAAACAGCTTTTAGCTTCTTTTTTTAAGCTCTTTTTTTTAGCTTTAGCTTATAAGTAGCTTCTAGCTTAAAAATAAGAGGATCCAAACAGGCTCTAAGTCCCTAGCCGCAAACATTTCCTTCACATAGACTTGTTGGACCTTAGTTTGCCCGATAGTTTGTAATTTCTGTTATTTTTCTTTTCCTTCCTTTTCTGAAGAAAAACGCCAAGGTTTCTTGTTCAATATTCAAAGTGGATAATCACTTGAATTCAAAATAACGATATTTGAAACCACTAGCTTTGGTCTAGTGATGAAGGGTTTGAGTAAGTTATATTAAGTTATTTGTTTAATTCTCACTTGTATTTGAAAAAATAAAAATAATGATATTTGGCTCCAATCAGCTTATTTTAAATTCAAAGATCAAAAGATTCATAATCATATATGTTAATGTCATGCTTTGATATTCGCTCGAGATTAAAGTTGAAGATAAGAGAGAAGTTATCATGACAATGAGGTCATGATCGTTAGAGAAGGTGAGACACGAGAGAAAGAAAGAAAAAATAAAATGAAATGAGGTTTTTTATGTGTTTCTTCTCACCATTGGCAACAATTGAGAGACGTTGATTTGAAATTAATCTATTAATAAATAATAATGAGGTAGTATACTTACTTAGTCCTGTTGAAATATCTTGAATATTAAAGGCACTCTCATAAAAAAGAACAGATACAGAAAATTTTATTTATGTATACACACTAAGTCTGAATATTTAATGGAAGGAGTTCAGGGGCAGTGCCTACGAAAAAAAAATTCAACAAGTTTTAAATGCATTAAAAAATAAAAATATATAAACAAAAAGAAATTTATATCACTCATGTTACAGAACCAAATTTTTTGTCATGTTAAGAAAAGACAAGACCAAATCATTGAATAACGTGTCATCTCACTTTCTTTAATATTATATAACTTGTCTTTTTCTTAACATGACGAAAAATTTCGTTCATATAATATGAAGGATATAATCCTCAAACAACGAAAGAAAAGAAAACTTCGACTTAACATAAAAAAATAGTAATCAACTTAATCATATAAAACCACTAAAACATAAACAGTAAATAAGATGTGTTTCTTTTTTAGTACATGTGCTTGTATTCCTCAACATGCAACAACTAAAATTGCTCTCTGAGTGACATTCCTAATTAATTAAAAATATATATATCTTCTTTACTAAAAAAAATATATGACCAAATTTATGTGTGCACTTGCACACACTGACAACCAAATAGATCTGCCTATGAAAAAGAGGCAAGAGATTTTTGAACTTTAAAGAATATAGTTGTTATATAAAATTCATTCCTAAAATATTTATCAAGATTTTTTTCTTTAAAAAAAATTATCATCATTTTTTAAGGGTCACTAAACTGAGTATTAAGACCAGTTATTTTGTTAAGTAGCTAGTTCCATTAAGGTACTCTTATAAAAAAAATTATTTACTACTTTCCATAAATAATGTCATTTAATAAATACTTTTTTTATTACTTAAAATAAAAGTATTAAAATATTTTGATATTAAAAACTACGTAGGCATTCTCTTAAAAAAGCTGCAAAAGACTTTAATGAATATAATATTTATAGTCATATTTTTATATAAAATTCACACCCTAAAATTTTTATTAATATAAATTTTTTGATGAAACATTTTTTGTATCAATACGTTCGAAGGTCACCACACTATAAAAAGTAAGCATTTAGTGCCTTTAGAGCTTGTTTGGAGCACTTGATAAAGAAGATAGAATATGATAACTTATCGTATCTTATTTTTATCTCTTGTTTGGTGGGTCAACAGTATATGATTAGTTTATCATATTATCTCATTTTATCTTATCCAATACATGATTTCTTATCCTATGGGGGGAGCTGAGTTAGAATTCAATAGGATAGGATACAAATATTGGATACCCAATATATCTCCACGCTACCCAATATATTTGTATTTATTGCATTATATTTTGTTTTTTCTTTCTTCTTTCTCCTTCTACATAATCTTATCATATTGCTGATCAAGTGCTCACTAAACACATGACATGATATAGGCTTATTAGCCCCATATCATATCCTAATCCTACCCTTATCATATCCTACTTTTATCCTATCATGTCCACCAAACGAAAAACGAGCCCTTAAAGTACTAGTTAAGACTTAAGAGACATTTGATACGTTTACAAAAAAAAAAAAAAGATTTAATACTACTCTTAATATAGGTTTTGTTAATGTATATTTAGGACATAAATGAATGAATTAAAAATAAAAATCATAACATGAAAAGTAGAAGCCTTTTTTTTTTTTGGTAATCAGTAAAAGCCTTTGATATATGAGAATCTATAAAAAAAACAAAAAAGGAAAAACTTCATTTTCATTGTGGTTTTCTGATTTATCATTTGATCTTTCATGATTTTAAATTTATCACTTAGACTTATTGTGCTGAAATAATTTATCATTTAAACCCCTATGCTTTTAAATTTTCACTTAGAACCTTTGTGATTACAAAAATTTCACTTAAACTCTTTGTGGTTTAAAAAATAAATATTTCAAAAACATATTTAAAATAAATTTTCTCTCTTTTTTATTTTATATCCTCATGTAATGCATTTAGGGTTTGAAAAATATTTCAATTTATTTATTCAAGTGTTAATTTATAAATTATCTTAATTTTTTTATTTTAAAAATATATTTGAAATTAAAAAAATTATTTAAGATGAAATTAAAAAATATTATTTATGATAAATTAAATATGTATTATCAAAATAAGATTTTATTTTCTTTAAATAGAAAAAATAAAAATATTTGATTTGAATTTATTTTCTTGATAAAAATATGTGAATTTTTTTAGAATTTATTTTTATTTTTTAAACCTTAAATGCATTAGTTGGGATATAAAATAAAAAAGAGGGAAAATTAATTTTCCTCTTATTTATTTTTTTAAATTTTTATTTTTGTAACAAGGGATCTAAATGATTTTTTTTTGTAACCTATTTAAGCACAAATTTAAAACTACGGGAGTTTAAATGATAAACTATTTAAGCACAATGAGTCTAAGTGATAAATTTAAAATCACGAGCGGTCAAATGAGAAATCACAAAATCACAATAAGTAAAAATTGAGTTTTTTGTTATCAAAAAAAAAAAAATTGAGTTTTTCCTAATTTTTTTTTAACATTTCATGTATTAAATAGATGCGATGAGTTAATGAAAGGTAATAATGCTTCTCAACAAACGTTCCAAAGACACACATTAAAAAATTAATAATACTTATTATCTACCAAAAAAATAATACTTATTAAATGAATAAATTATTATAATAACAAATGAATTGCTTGTAATTCCTTATCTTAATTCGTTTTTATTTTTGATAAAAAAACGAAAGCAAAAAATAAAATTATATAAGAAAGTACAACATCCCAATGTCTCACTAGTGTTGCCGCAAGTTCTCTTTGGAAAACGAACCACTGCATTGTCTGCGTCAAGGACGAAGCTAAAGCTAAAAGGACGTGACTCACACACCTCTTGAGAATGACCTTTCCAAGCTATGTCAAGTACCATAAACACAGTTGTTAACGTCTCCTAAAGAATAAAGACCAGAATTTCTCTGCAAGTAGTTTTATTAAGCTGTGTTTCAATCTTTGTCGTGTCATAAGAGTTGTCTCAAAATCCCAAACAATTTTGAGTTTGTGATGTCTTTCGAAATTCTTTATCCCAAACTCCATCGAGAGTTTTTGTTCGTTTCAAACGCGTTATCATCTTTCTTTTGTTTTTGTCCCGCAAACTAATATCTCTCGTATAACTCTTACATGTAAAAAAAATGTGTGAAGTCTATACGAAAATAAAAGAAAAGAAAATGTAGTAGGACATAAATTTATCTAAATATTAAACTTCTACTTTTTATCACAAAATTCAATCTTTGCCATAAAAAAAAATAAAAATGAGTGGAACGTTAAATGCGGGCCGTTGGGCCTGTCGGGGCCTAAAGGAGCCCAAATATCAGTGAAAGAGATCTGGATCTAGCGAAAGGACTATATCACCCTTCCTATTTCTCTCTCTCTTTCTTTCTTGTTTTCAAATCTTTCTCTTTCTCTCTTCCTCTGTTTAGAAAAGAAATAGAAAAACCACAGCATTTTCAGGGCGCCCTAGATTTTCTCTCTTCTCTCTCTCTCTCTCTCTAAAAGCTCTTTGCTTCGGAAGGAAGAGAAACAACGCAAACGCAATGGCCTTCGCTTCTTTCCTTGGCAGAGTCCTCTTCGCTTCCGTTTTCATACTCTCTGCTTACCAAGAGTTAGTGTTTTTTTTTTTTTTTTTTTTGGCACTCTATTTTGCTGATTTGTAGCATACGATATTGTTTCGAGATATATTTATTTATTTTTTAAAAAAAGTAGAGGAAGTTTCTGGATTCCTAGTAAGTTAGTTTCTCTGGGTTCGGTTGTTGTTGACTTGTTGCTGTAGTTGGATCCGTTGAGTTTAAGGTTTGAAACTGTTTGTCTGAGTAAAACAATCATTTAGATCTATGTTTTTTTTTTTTTATTACTTTTTTCTCCGCTAAGATTTCGAAATCACTGCTAAATTAGGTGTTAAATAGCTTCCATTTGAACAAGTTTGCTTTAAATATGTGTAGTCTTTTTGTGTTGAATTGGTTCTGTTATTGTTTTTGAGGGAGGCATATGAACATTTTATGCTATGACTTGGTTGAAGTGCAAGGAACTATATTCTCTTCATTTTTATTTTCTTTTTTTCTTTTTTTTTTGGGACTATGTTTAAGTGTGAAATGAACTATGCAGGGGAATTTGTGTATTGCTTTTGTAATATTATGGAATCAAGCGATTTATATGCGTGATTTCATTTCCTTGATTATGGTATTATTGTTCAGGTATTCTCCGTGCACGCCTCCAAGTATTGTAGTAGGATGAGAATGAAAAAAAAAAAAAAGAGATCTCATAACATCATGTTTGGAGCTGAACAGTTACTGTTTCCATGGGTTGTTAGAGAATCATTTTCATGTATTGAATGAAAATATGCTGGCTGCGGTGGTTCTTGTTTGAGTATGGTATGCGGTTTTGTTACAGTGACTATATGTTGTGGTGATGCCATGCATAATACAAAAGAATGGGTGACATTGAATTCAGGAGTGGTTGTTAAATGCATGTTTCCTTTGTCATTTATGCCATTCTATAACCATAATAGTAATTTTATTTTTTTAATAATTCTTTTTGGCATATAATTAAAAGATAATTCCCTTATTTGGAATAACTCTTTAATTTAAGAAGCACTGCTTTTGCATGGTTTTTTTTTTTTTTTTTCTGTCTTTGATTCATTGTATGTAAAACTCCCTTACCATTTAGGGTGTGTTTTGGAGTTAGGAGGGAAAGAGAAGGGATCAAAGGGAGAAGGAAGGAAAATGAAGGATGAATCCTTACCTTACCCTCTTTGGATGTCACAAATTACAAGGGGAGCAAAACGAAGGGTTACTTCAATTATAATATAGATTTATGACTTTACCCATTTTTTTAAAAAGACAATACTTTTTCCTTTCATACTTTTTTTTTTAAATTAAAAAGTTCTGTCTAAAAGCATTACCCTAAAAATTTTTCTCTCTCTAGAAGTTTTTTCTCTTTCTGAATAACTTGCAAATAGGATTAAATTGTGATTTTAAATTTGAATAGGGCTTAATAAGTAAATTGAGTTGCTATGAATGCTTACCATATCCATTCTGTGTGATGTGCAGTTGTGCATTGATTATATTCTGGATTGACTTGGCCATGTTTTCATTCCTAGTGAATTGGACTTCTCTTTGAATTCTTGTCTGTAAACGCCTTCATGATTATGACATTCAATTATACTTGATTTAATAATTATTCATTGTGGGTTTGGAAGAGTTGATGGTGTTGCTTGCTTTTGCTTACTTTTTATACTAAGTTTGAGACTAGAAGCTAATAGTTCTTACAATTTTTCATTTTGACTGTGCAAGCACTCTTTCTTTTCTTTTCTTTTCTTTTCTTTTTAATTCTTCATACCCTCTTTTTTATGCTGTAGTGAAATTTCTTGTTTATTGTGTCTTGTGTTCTTTACTATAGACTTAATGAGTTTGGAGTTGACGGGGGACCTGCAGTGAAAGCACTCAGACCAAAGTTTGATGCCTTTACATATCGAGTGCATTCTCAAGTTGGCTTTCAAATTCCAGAGATTGATGTTAGTCCTCTCTCTCTCTCTCTGTGTGTGTGTGTGTGTGTGTATCAATCTTTCAGGAAAACTAGATTTGTACCAGGGTAAACACTGTCTTTTCATTTTAAAGTAATTGAAGAATTTACCTATTCAATAATAAATATTTATGTAATGCGCAATCCCATAGAAATTGAAATGTATGGTGAAAGTTGACTGTACCCTTTTATTAAAATAAAAAGAATGTGCCTGGGTAGAAATAGAAGAATGAGAACAAGTGGTTTAAGTTAAACCGAATACAACTGTTAGAGAAATATGATATAAAACCATTAATGTGACCTTCACATAATAACTTAAGTTTTTGGGTTTGAAATGATGTTTTACAACAATAATAAATATTTATTTAATACACAATCTGATAGAAATTGAAATGTATGGTGAAAGATGACTGTACCCTTTTATTAAAATAAAAAGAATGTGCCTGGTTAGAAATAGAAGAATGAGGACAAGTGGTTAAGTTAAACAGAATAGTCTGGTATGGAAGTTGAGATTGTGTGCAAGTTTAATTATCTTTTTGAGTGCGAGGCTTGGAACGGTTGCTCCTTTGTGACCAGAAGGTTATATATTCAAGTCTAAAAAACAACTTCTTTGCAAAAAACGAAAAAAAAAGAAAAAAAAGAAAGAAAACGGGTAAGGTGGCTGTGTACAATCGATCTTTACTCCTACCCTATCAAAGTTGGAGAGCCTTTGTCCACTGGCGTTTAATGGTTTATGAAATATCTAATTTGTATTAAATAATACTTTTACAGTTTTACCTTTGTTACTCCACTGGTTTAAACTTCAAATGGGATATATGTTGTTATATGGACAAAGTATTTGCTGATATTAGACTTGTCCTATCCTTGAGGCGTATTGGTGCTAGCCCATACCGAATTTTGGGTTCTCAACAGGCAAGGTTATTGTGTTTATGTTGGCCATAAATGATAAATTTGAGTAGAAGAAAAAATAAATTTGTAGATCCGTTATATAATATGAAAATGTTGGGGGTGGCCATGCGCTGGGGTTGGGAAGTTATGAGCATCACTATTCAAAATAACTTATTTTCATGCATTAAACTGTTATGCAAATAGCCTATACTTAGTTCCTTAAGTCAAAATGTACATAAATTGATTTTTCCTCCCTTTTTGCATGCATGTTATATTCTCTGTATGCTAGAATGTTCCCTGATATAATTGTTGTCATCAACAGTTGAAATTTGTAATTGCTGGGGCTATTGCTCTGAAGGGCATTGGAGGGGTTCTTTTCATATTTGGCAGCTCTTTTGGAGCTTTCCTTCTGGTTTGTAGTCAGACTTTCTCTATGAATATAATAGATTTCTGTTCATCTCATGTGCTCAGTTTTTCAAGTTATGGCCCCCATTTTTTCTTGGCTGTAGCTCCTGCATCAGATGATTGCTACTCCAATCCATTATGATTTTTACAATTATGAAAATGACGACAAAGAATTTACTCAACTTTTCATCAAATTTACACAGGTAAGGAGTGAGTTATTTATTTAATTTCATTTCCATGTCTGTGTGCCCAAATTCAAGCCGTTGTTACAATGTTGCTGGATGTATTGTTGCAATTATTTATCAAATATAATTACTCCTTGCAGAATATGGCTCTTTTTGGGGCTCTGTTGTTTTTTATTGGGATGAAAAATTCCATTCCCAAAAGGCAACCCAAGAAGGCTCCCAAAACAAAAACCTATTAGTAGCTGCATTGGAGGACCCTCTTTTCAAGGATTGTCTCGGGTTGTTTCCGGGTTCTTCATTTTATCCTTTTGATCTGCCAGGATTTGGCTCGGGTACTCTCTGGTTCAGAATCAATCTTTCCCTGTTGAGTTTTTGTAATTTTGGTTTCACTCTCAGATGGATTAAATTATTGCCTATTATTATTGTTATTATTTTTGTATGATCTGTTAGAACGGTGTTAGGAACTATCTTTCAATTGCTAAACCTGTATCAAGAGGGAAAAACAACAGTAGCGAAGCCTTTGCGCTAAAACTTGAGTGCCAATTTCCTCATGTTCTTGTGATCTTCATGTTAAGGTCCTCAAATCCTGGCACTTTAAGTTACTACTTAATTGGAGTTCTGTGCGTTGGCACATGGATTAATAGAGCCCTTTTGATTTTTATGTATCCGTATTTTACTTACCAGTTGGTTTCTCTACATGCAAAACTTGTGTATGAATGGATAAACTCCTTTGGGATGTGGTGCATTTGTTTGCAATTTTTTTTTTATTGAAATGATAAAATATGAAAATAATGGTTGGATAAGCTGTTTTAAGACTAGCGGTTATATGTGCCTTCAATGTAAATGGCTACGTATCAGAATGTATGCAGAACGTTAATGAAATAATTATGGTTAATATTTAGAAACTAACGCAGCGGTATATGGGATTACCACTCTTACTGCAAATGAGGTATACGCTATAAATATTCTAACATGATATTATGGTTTTTTTTTACTTCGTGTTTTGGTAGTTTTGGTAGAAGAGTTTGGGTTTTACCCTAGTTTGATTTCTGCCTTTATGATCTGCATGCATGCACTAAGGAGAATTAAAATTTTGTACTCTATATTTATTGAATATGAAAAATTATGAAACTGCAAATTAGTAAATTACTGATTACTAATGTTTGGGTTGACCTCAAATAATTGAATTTCTGTTACGGTAAGATTTATAAACTGAAGATACAACGTGGATCTGGATCACATAAAAAAGATAGAGAATAGTAGTTTATTCAAAATCTTTATATAATAAAGTAAACTAAAATAAAATTTTAATAAATAAAACTCAAGATGTGTACGATTTTGTAATACATGCATTTTGACTAGTGGAGCTTGTGAACATTGGCTGATTTACACAAGCCGTTAATTGATCTTTTTATGTATTAATTAATATGGTTATGTTATATTGGAGGATTATAATCATGCAAGGGTAAATTAAAGTTGATGATTTTGTAATTATTTATTTTAATATATTTTTCTTTCTTATTTTGTCATTATTAATTTATTTTTGTATGATTATGATTTTTTTGTATGACACGATTATGTTAATTAACACAGAAAATCTATTCCCATACGAGCCAAGTAAGGTAGATTTTGCACAATCGGAAAAGAGAGAAACTGACTTTGGTCTAGGTTTCATTGGCCAGAATTTATCAAAATCAACTCGATTATAAAAGATAATTGCTGAAAATTGAAATATAGCGAAAATGAGTATACCAAATAAAGAGTTTCGATTTTGTTATGGAACTAGTATTCAACCCAGATCCGAATGGAATGACCTGACAATGATTTTATAAAAAACACAAATAATTAAATATAAAAAAATATAAAAAATTACTCTGATAATATTTAAGGTATTCTACAATAATACAAGATTCAATAACAATGTAATGAGTTATTTTTTTAAGTATCGGAACAGCTTATACACTTGTGTCAATATCGTCAGAGACACCATTGGCAGATACGTAGTTTGCATTCATAGATTGGTATTGTAACAACCTAAAATTTGCTAGAGTACTATGAACTGCTAGTGATAAATAATTCAATTATTCAATTTTCATGTACTAAGACTTCTCGACGCTTTATCAATGGTGTATTGGTAGGTTTGTTTACTTGTTCTTTTATGAATCATAGGCACACCGTGGTATTTGCCCAAGTTGCGTGACTGAAGCAGTTGGAGAAAAGGAATATGACCTAATTCAGGGACATAGGGTTCAAGAAAAAGGCTTCCTTCACCTTCAAATGGTAACTAATATATTGACGAATAATTAAACCTTAATTAATCTTACCCCACCTAACCCTAAAAAGAACTTAATTGGGGTATCAATTAATTTCATCATAGAGGTATACAGGTTCTTGTAGAGAGAAATTGACCAAGATGGACTAAAAAGAGGATCGTGGTTTAAAACTTAATTCAGATTATGACAATTTAACTAAGTACATTTGAGTTAAGTATTGAGCTATATTATAGGGAAAGTATAGTCAAAATATGACTTCTTAAATTTTGATCTACGGTTGGCTCTCATCAAAGGATTAGAAAGTGACGTTGATAAGGTTTTATAGGAATGAAAACTATGCTTGTCGGTTTAGGACATTGTTTTTCTTGTATGTTATTGTGTGGTTGTTATGCCCAGGACCTTAAATGCAATTAAATGATAGGAAAGTGACATTGATATATTTAGAGAATGAAATAAATACTTGTTGGTTTTAGGGCAATGTTGTAAAATCGGGTTCGTAAACTTTCTTCTTCCCCTGACTCGAATTTGTTGACATTCTCCGCTCCATTGCTTTCTTTGTCCTATTCACATGATTCATATATGTCTTGAATAGCCCGCCTCTTCTTTGAAATTGGTTCCTCAAAAATATCAATTCCAATATCTTCAATCATTTGAAGACCATCACGTGTGACATTGTCATTTGCTGCTTCAAAAACTTGATGCAATTTTGATTGTTGGTGTTTATTGAAATAATGAGTGTTGAACTCCGTTATTGTTGCAAGCCCACATCGTATTTGAGTGCTGAGAAATTTCCATGAGAGAGTAAATTGGTATACTGATAGCAGAAGAATCGGTAATATCTAATAAATGCTCAAGGTTTTCAATCGATGTACTTTTTTCACCTCGCTCGTCTTCATAAGTTGATTTTGCTTCATTTCTAATTGGGCAATTTTCAAGAACCCGTATGTCATCCAAATCATCTTATGCACAACCAGATGTATCAAGAGATAACTCAGCCTTGTCATGCACTACTATTTACAAATCAAGAGTAAGACATTTTTGGACACACAGATCACTTCTATTCTCTTTACCTTTCATGTGTTTACCCTAAAACTTATTTTTGGACACCATTTAAGTAAATTAAGTTTAAGACTTGTGATTATTATTTTTTATATTATAATATTTAAAACTGATATCATTTTTGTTGATATTTTAGTATGTTTATAACTTTTTTTTTAATATAAATTATAAATTTGCATATATTTTCCAGATCATGCGGTTCAACCAGTGACCCATCGACACTGACCAGACACAACGACGAATCACCGTGATGGACGGCGGCCAAGCAGAGCGATCGGTGATCGGTTCGGTTTGAATTTAATCGGATGCACCGATTCGGTTCAAAAAATCGGCGAGAAGAAACATTTGATTTGGATAATCCGTAGGGAAGCAACGGATAGGGACAAGGGTATTTTTGGATAAAAAATTAATAAAATAATTTAATACAAAATTATTTTTATTTCACACATACGCATACAGACACACACGAACCGAACCAATCCGACCGATCGGCCGAACGGACGGCGACTGCGGCGCACGTGTGGTGGACCAAAGGCCACCTAGCTCCTCTCCCCTCCACAAAATGTGTAGTGCCCCAAGGAGCAATTTAGGAGTGTGAGGTGGGAGCTTATATACCCTCTCACCTCTTATTAGTTGTCCAATCTGGGACTTCTTAAACCACACACACCCTTTCAACTTCCCTCATTTCTTTTCTTCCTCAACCCACTTCTTATTCATAACCCAGAGGATGTATATACAAATTTCAACAATCCCCCACATGGATAAGAAGTCAATTCATCATGACTAAATGCATAAGAATATGAATGTAAAGTGTAATTTTCTCAACGAGAAACAATTGCATCGAGATAGGTAGAGTTACCTTTGAAGCTTCTATAGTGAAACCTATCGGATATCCTCGATCAATCTGTGGTCTGGGCAACTTGAACCGTCCCTTTAGTGTATACTTAGACAATAGAAGTCACATAATTGCTTCTCTAGCATTGTTGGTCCTCATTGTTGTGCCCATTTTGATCTTGGGACACATGTCTGGTTTTGTGAGTGTTCTAGAGAATCGGCCTTTAGTAAATTCTCATAGAAACAACCCTCACTTCACACTCACATAGGTGATTCCTTGTTATGTAATTCAACATACATCATCTGAACACATCAGATTAAGAAACCATTGAAAGCATAAATGCTTACCCTCATATAGACTGTATTGTCATAGGAATGAGAATGAGTTTAGAAACTCCGCAGTGTTAACAGTCGATCATCACTTAATTGTCTCTTTGAACCTAGTTCGTGGGATCTCCACTCATCAAGGTAGAGTTACTACAATGATCAACAATTGATAGGCCTTAAACCCATTGCTGTCGGTAAATTCTCATCCAATTCTCTAGGAATTCTTTTGGTTAATGATAATTGATATTTATTACACTTAATTGTTACTCTCGATTATTGATTTTTGGATTGTTTAGTGTGTAAATAATGGTTTAGGGTTTTTGGGTTAAGTTAGATGTTGGGTTTTTAATTGGATTTATTTTGAAATTCGTAATAAAAATCTAGATTTACGTTACTGTAAGATAATATGATGGTCTAAAATTGATCCCAAGTTATTCACGAGTTATTACAGTTTTAATTAGTTAATTGGATTTAAGTTTGTAATTGGGAACCCAATGTTTTTGAGGCCCAAATCCATTATTTATCTTTTATTCCCTTTCATACTAGTGAGTATTGTAGAGCCTACATAAAGGCATGTTTAGGAGGCCTTGTCATTCAATTTTAGTTTTCGTTTTGAGAGTTTATGTTTTTACAGTTTCAAGGTTCAATTGTAATTTATGTTTTCTCTCTTCTACTCTTTTGTTCTTCTTTATTTTCTTAATTTCAATTATGATTTTCTACATAGCCATGCTAGGCTAAGCGTTCTTTAATCAATCCAAGAATTAAGGATTCCGCAGTTGAATCTGGAGGACCTGCGCTTCATCTTGATCCAAATCATTTCTCTGTCTTCAACACGGATTCGAGTTCTGCGATTGCACCTAAGGTAAGTGATAAAATATTAGATTTAATATTTAGGTTGATTAACCCGATGATCTTAAGTCAAACGGGCTGATACTCCGCGATTGCGCGAGTAGATGCGCCATATTGATCAAATGCTAGGCGATCGTCTAGAGAGGGGTTCCTAAGCAATTGCAGGGATTTCGAATTGCTTAGGCTCAACCACGAAAAGTATTCGAATACTTATCAGAAAGAATGCAGAAATTCGTGCATCCTCTGCATAAGTCCATATTTAAGGGTCTAAACGTGATTTGGAGTCCAATAACTCCATCAACAGATGTTCATTAACATGTTTTAGACTTAGATTACCAGCCTTCAGCTCAAATGGTTTAAGTTTCACTTTTTAATGGATTAAAACAGCTAAAATCATGAAAATACCAAAGAGGTGATCATGGTGTACCTCAAGTGACTCAAACTCAGAAAAGACTCCTCCTTGGAGCTCCCAACACAGTCCCAAGGTGCTGACCTTGCAAGGGCACGAAAATGCACTACAAAATGGGTCCTTACACCAAAAGGTGGCTTCTTGAAGCCTTAGATGACAAGAACAAGGCTCTACTCAACCAAACTCAGAAATACAGCCTCCACTCTGAAGCTAAACTCAGAATGAGGTCTCTTACACACTCCCAAGGCAAGCCCTCACTCACACAAGTGTTTTAGTGGAAAGAACAAGGAGAAAAGTGGCACCTTTGGCTCACAAGAGGGAAAAGAAGGTGAAGGTGACAAGAGGAGGCACAAGGCTGATGAAGAATCAGAAACTCACGTAGGAACATCAAATATGGCCTAGGGTTTGGGCCAAATGGGCATTTATAGCCCACTTAAGTGTAATCGCGCAGTATTAGCATCAATAGCTATGTTTAGCACTTTAATCCCAAACTTAAGATTCAGAACCTAGCCATTTTTCTAGGATTTTTCATATTTTTATTTTATTTTTCGCAGTACTTTGCCGGTACGCATTTTTACGAAGCCAGTATCAGTTCTGACACCAGTTCTCATTATTTGGACTTGAAACTTGTTATGCTAGTCCTATATATTATTCTAGTGACATATAAATACTTTTCATAATTTTTCGGGATACTTCATCAGTACGCATTTATACCGTGGAGCAGAACCGGTATTTGCACTTTTCGTCAGAAAAATGACTTTCCACATTATTAATCACTTACCATGATTATTTAAGCCTTCTCATAATTATTAAGGTCAATTATAGAATTATCACATTATTATCATAATTAATTAATTAGATTCCTAATTTAGCGGTGCAAGTTCTTACATTCACATTACCTATATCTTTTTACCACAAGCTTAGCTTTATATTTATCAATAATGTCATTTTCTTTCATTTTTCTTTTGAAGACCCACTTACTTCCTAAAGGCTTAATGCCAGGAGGAAGGTTTACCAATTCCCAAGTGTGGTTTGACAAGATAGACTCTATTTCACTATTGATAGCCTCTTCCCAGAATGGTGCTTCCGGGGACGTTACAGCTTCTTTATACGTCTGAGATTTGTTTTCTAACAGATATGTCATAAAATCAGGTCCAAAGGATGTGGCTGTCCTTTTCCTCTTGCTACGTCTAGGTTCATCGTCTGCAGGATCAATATTAGGCGTAGCATCCCGAGGTATCACAATGTTATTATCATTATTACCACTTGATTCATGTTCTTTGTTATACGGAAATACGTCTTCAAAGAACGTAACTTCCATTAACTCAATAACCGTATTAACATGTATATTCGAGACATCAGATTTATAAACTAGAAATCGATAGGCACTACTATTAAGTGCATAACCGATAAATACACAATCCACGGTTTTATGTTCGATTTTCAACCTTTTTAGATTTAGGAACAACAACCTTAGCCAAGAACCCCCACACTCTAAAGTATTTCAAGGATGGTTTCTTTCCTTTCCATACGTCGTATGGTATGCTCTTTGTCTTTTTGTGAGGCACTCTATTAATAATATAGTTAGCCGTCAAAATGGCTTCCCCCCACAAGTTCTGTGGTAAACCAGACATGATTAACATAGCGTTCATCATTTCTTTCAACGTTCGATTTTTCCTTTCTGCAATCCCATTTGATTGCGGTGAATATGGAGTTGTTGTCTGGTGTATAATACCAGACTCCATACAGAATTCCTCGAAGGGGCCATCATATTCTCCCCCACGATCGCTCTTTACTATTTTAATTTTTTTGTTAAGTTGATTTTCAACTTCACTTTTATAGTGTCTAAAAGCTACACTAGCCTCATCCTTACTATTAAGTAAATAAATATAACAATATCTACTGCAATCATCACATATGTAAGTATGTATTAAATCTAACAACTCGGTTGATCTTTCAATTGATGAAAAATGTAATTTCAAATTTTTTGATTCAACACACATGACATTTATTATTTACACATTCAAATTTAGGCAATAAATCTAAATGAATTAAATTCTTAATTGATTTTAAATTAACATGTCTTAATCTATTATGCCATAAATTAGAAGACTCAAGCAAGTAAATAGAAGGAATAATATTATTAATATTATTGTTATCGGTTATAGTCATCACATTCAGTTTGAAAAGGCCCTCACTAAGGTAACCCTTTTCCTACATACACATCATTCTTAGTAAGTACAAACTTATCAGAAACAAGTACAAGTTTAAAACCATTCTTGCTCAACAAAGATCCAAAAACAGTTTTTGCGAATATCAAGTACACGAAGCACATCATTGAGTGTCACTATCTTGCCAGATGTCATCTTCAAAGCCACTTTCCCCATATCTTCAACTTTCGAAGCAGATGAATTACCCATATAAAGTTTCTCATCATTATTTGTAGGAGTATACGAGGAGAACATCCACTTGTTTGAACAGACATATCTGGTGGCACTAGTGTCCACCTACCATTTCTTAATATCTCCCACCAGATTGCACTCCATCACCACCGCTGCCAGATTCAGATCTTCAACCTTTTCCGCAATATCAACCATGTTGGCTTCGGTGGTCTTCTTCTTCTTGAATTTTTGTGGCTTCTTCTGATCTTTCTTTTGTTTCTTCTTACAGTCCCTTGCACGGTGGCCAAAATTCCCGCAATTGTAATAATAGCCCTTGAACTTTTTGCCTTTTCCTTGCTTAGCATTTCCTTCTTCAAAATATTTTTGCTTCTTTGACCTTGATCCCTCTTCAACAATATTAGCCTTGGAGACCATAGGACTGTTGCCATTTTTCTTTTCAAAAATCTTATTATCTTCCTCTATCCTTAATCGCATGATCAGATCTTCATGTGGCAATTCCTTGCGCTTATGGTTGAGATAATTCTTGAAATCTTTTCAAGAATTTGGTAATTTTTTTATGAAAGCAGCAACTTGGAAAAACTCACTAAGAGACATTTCTTCATCATGAATTTTATACACAATCACTTGAAGTTCTTCAACTTGACTCACAACAGATTTAGAGTCTTATATCTTGAAGTCCAAGAATTTGCCAACTATAAATTTCTTTAAGGCAGCGTCCTCGATTTTATACTTCTTGTCCAGACTATCTTATAGTTCCTTACTGGTCTTCAAGGTACTATACACATTGTACAGTGTGTCGTCTAGACCATTGACAATATAATTTCGGCAAAGAAAATCAGAATGCTTCCAAGCATTAATGGCAGCAACCTTTTCCTTGTCAAGTTGTTCTCCCTCATCCAACTTAGGAGTATCTTCTTGGAGGAAACGTGCCAGATTGAGAGTTGTCAAATAGAACAACGTCTTCTGTTGCCAACACTTGAAATTTCTCCTATTAAATTTTCAGGTTTGTCAGCATGCATTGGAATAGAAGCAGTAGGGTTGATCAAGTTTGTACTTGCACTAGCCATTTCTGTTACACAAACAGTCGAATTAATCACACAAATTATATGAATTGCACAGTAAACAGTATATTACAACAAAAATAAAAAAATACTGAAAAACAAATTCAAATCACAAATTGACTTAAGATTGTCGTAAAAGACAATGGGTGAAAGATCACCAAAAGACTTGAATCTGAATGTAACAGAGAAATTTAAAATGAAATTATCAATCACAGTGCAATAAAGTAAATAAGAACAGATTCACAGTACTGAAAATGAATGAACAAAGTATGCAGAATAGTGGAAGAAATTCGAGTTCACAAAAAGTGTCTCATTAAGACAATTTGTTCCCTTACTGATGTCGAAGGTTGATGAACACTTGTCTCCCAAGATAGAATGGATTGCGTCTGAAGAATAATGGCATTATCAGTCAACAACCCGAACGAACACAACTGAATGCCTGAGGAATTACACCGGAAAGAATGGAGGAATGCATGCACGGATGAAGAAAAAATCTGGCAGATTAACAATGCAAAAAATCGAATGGATTTCTGAAGGGGTTAGGGTCTGTATACAGACACTGACCAGACACGATGAATCGCCGCCAACGAACCGCGGTAAAGCAGAGCGACCGGTTCGGTTCAAAAAACTTCGGGAAGAAACGTTTCGTTTGGATAATTCGGAGGGAAGCAACGGATAGGGACAGATGTATTTTTGGACAAAAAATTATTTTTATTTCACGCACGCACGAACCAAACTGAGCCGGCCGAAGGCGGCAGCGCGCGCGCGGTGGACCAAAGGCCACCTATCTCCTCTTCCTTTCACAAAATATGTAGTGTCCCAAAGGACAATTTAGGATTATAAGATGAGAGTTTATATACCCTCTTACTTCTTAATAATTGTCCAATACGTGACTTCATAAATTCTATACACCCTTTCAACATCTCTTTTTCCTTTTTTCCCTCAACCAACTTTTGATTTATAATCCATTGGATATATATACAAATTCCAACATATTTTGCATATAATCATAGTAGACTACTAGAGTCCAAGTGTCTCAATTTTGTGGAACTACATTTTGTCCCAGTCACATGCTTCAGCACTCTGCATAAGTTACTGCGAAGGACAAATAGGAAAAAACAAAACAAGAAATTAATTTCAACGCAAAATTTTAATATGTTGGATGAGGCTAAGTTATGATGTAATGTAAAAAAATATTTTAACTTAAAATTTAAGATATTGGGTGAGGTTTTATTAATAATTTTACATTTATCTATTATATTAATGTTATATATATTGTGACACCAAAGGAAAAAATAAAATAAAATAATAAAATCAAAGGGATAGTTATTCTATTTACTATTTTTTTTTATTTATCTCTGTCTACTACCCTCCAACACCATCAGATCAGAATCTGAAGAAGAGAGAAAAAGATAAATGTTAGTTAAGATGCTGATCCAATGATGTTGGAGAGTGATAGATAAAGGTAGGCATAAAAAATGATAGGTAGAATAATCTATCCCAAAATAAAATATGTACGGTCTCCACAATAAAAACATGTACAGTTGCCACTTAAAATATACTACAATAACACCGTTAAAATCACGTTTCGAATTTTAAAGAGCTGTAAGCAAATAAGCTTTTTAAGATTTAATAATTTAATTTTGCATACATTTCATATAAGAGAGTATTATATTTACAAATTTTTATTTACAAATTCTTATAAATTATATTATGTACTTCCAGAAGTACACTAGGTTATACTATATATTTTTCGAAGTATATAATATAATTTGTAAAAATTTATAAAAAATATTTGTAAAGAAATCTTTTCACTGTACTAAATATTAAAGTTAGCTGATCATTCACGTGGGTTGAATCGATAATATTAATGAAAGACATGACAATGCGAGATTGAAACATTTGCCATAGCTTTTAACATAAAAAAATGTATAATGATTCCAGCTGGTTGAGGTGAAATGCCATTAGCATCTTTGGATGGTACAGACTCAGAACTGGCAAAATCTTTCAAAAGCATCTCCATACAATCTTGGGGAAACAAACATTGATGCTTGGGCTATTCTATTGTGTAGTAACGTACTAACGTCCAAAGTTCATCATGGTTTGAGACACACCACAAGTGGGTATCGCATCATATTGGCCTTTCTATGCATCTTTTATTGCACTTACACCCCATCATTTTATATTTTTTAATTCATTATATAGGCATCTCATCTGGTTTGCCATTGTCATATTTTTTTTTTCTACACTCAAAAAAGTTTGGCATCTTGTAACATAAACCATTCTCCATTTAATGGTGTCACCAAGTCTCAAATTGGAAGCAAATCCATTCTCAGTAACTATCTGAAGAACCTATATGTCTAGCATGGAAGTGATGCCCTTTGATGAAGAGGGTGCAGGCTATGACAGAGCCAAGGAAGTGAAGGAATTTGAAGAGACCAAAGGTGGAGTGAAAGGACTATTAGACTCTGGTATTGTCAAGCTACCAAGGTTCCTTATACATCCACCAGAGTCTCTCCCAAGGTTATCATCTGGTGCTGGTGCTGCAGCCACTACTACAACTTCATGCTACCATGTTCCTGTGATAGATTTTTCAGGATATGAAAGGTGTCGCAGGTCAGAGATAATCAGTGAGATTCGTGAAGCATCAGAGACATGGGGCTTCTTTCAAATGGTAAATCATGGAGTTCCAGTTGTTGTTATGGATGACATGCTAAAGGTCATCAGAAAATTCCATGAGCAACCAAGGGAGGTGAAGAAGGAGTGGTATTCCCGTGATAATAAGGTACCGGTGAGGTATTTTTGCAACGGTGATCTCCTTGTAGCAAAAGCAGCAAATTGGAGAGACACCATAATCTTTGACTTCAAAGATGGTCCTCTGAATCCAGAGGCCTATCCCAAAGTATGCAGGTACTGTGAAAGTCTTACTGTTATGTGTAAGTGAGAGAGTTAATACAAAACCCTTTATGTGTTCACCAAACACCTCAAGTGTTTTTTTGAGTAGTTGGTTCACGATATGTTATTGTATATAAAACCATTCATCTGTTCAAGATTTTGAGATAGTTCATCCACAAAATTGGATATAAAAAAACTAAATTGTTGGATATAATACTCATGAAAGTTATTTTTTCCATGCAGGGAAGCAGTGAGCCAATACATTGAACATATTCTAAAACTAAGGGAGATATTATCACAACTACTGTCAGAGTCCTTGGGGCTCAAGAGTGACTATCTCACAAGCATAGAATGCATGAAAAGTGAAGCAATGTTGTGCCACTATTACCCAGCTTGTCCGGAACCAGACCTCACATTTGGTGCCACACAGCACTCAGACCCATCATCCCTGACAATTCTGCTGCAAGATACCATAGGAGGCCTCCAGGTTCTCCATCAAAACAAGTGGGTTGACATAAATCCCATGCATGGAGCATTGGTGGCAAACATTGGTGACTTCATGCAGGTAACATGGACTTTCTATATGCATAAACAAATGAGAATCTGAATTTCCAACACAAGAATCTTTCATGTTCTTTGTGGAGTAAGTGACAGGGTCAAGTATCTATAGCAATGGCATAAAGTAACTTATTCCATTTTGTCCTTTCTTTGTGTTATGTAGCTAATCACCAATGACAAGTTCAAAAGCGTTGAGCATCGAGTGCTAGCTGGACGAGTTGGGCCAAGGGCATCAGTTGCTTGCCATATTTATCCCAGTGCAAGCCATAAATATAGACCAATAGATGAGTTAACATCCAATGAAAACCCACCTAAATACAAGGAGACCCATATTAGTGATTATCTTGGTTACTATAGGTCCAAAGGGCTTGATGGCTCCAAAGCCCTACCTTACTTTAGGCTATAACATGTTGCTAATGGTATGTATAATGAGGTGCCTACACAACTTTCAGTTTGAGCCTCCTTGAGCACACTCAACAGGCCTTTGTAGTATGTTAAAAATAAAATAGGACCTTCACGCCTTTCCCATTAAGCACTGATCATGTGCTATATTTTAACTGATCATTATAATATATAGTGATTAAACTTGGTAAAGACTTGTGCAGTAAACATTATGCTTGGAATATAACAAGTAAAACAAAGTATTATGTTATTTTTGATATCAAGCATTTAAACAAATGACAATCCCGGAAACATTTCAACCTGAACACGAGAAAAAAAAAAAAAAAAGCAAGTCTTGACACACTATAAAGTCTCTTATGATAGATAAAGGTCCCAACAATTGTAAGGGTAGTTTCCTTTTCTTCAAGCTACTATTTGCTTTGTTGGGACAAGCGGGGAGGAGGGGAGGAAACATAACAAATTGAGCATATCATTTCAAAAATCGAGTTACAGCAGTCAATGCAGAAGCTTAGAAGTTTCCAAGAATCAAACAATTACTATGAAAACTTTGTGCCCTTGGATTGCAGTAATTGAACAAGCGGCCACAAGATATCCAACCTGTGTAAATTTCTGTTGTTTTGGCCCTGTGACAGACAATTCACTGATCAATATCAATCGCTTAATACTTAAATATAAAGAAAATTTTCTAGTTACAAACTGTTGCAAACTTCGAAGATGCCAAATAATTAGACTTTCAGTACATGGCTCTCATGGAATGTACATGGTTTATATGAAGTTGCTGTCAAATTCAAAGTAATTATCAAAGAGATAACTCTACTGAAGCTCAAAACTATCAATTAAGATATAAAAAACTTGCAAAAGTTACAACAGCTTCAATTACCATAGTTCTTACGTAAACATTATGAATCAGGTGGCTTCATATGTAAGGGCCATTCCATAGAATTGAGCAGTGTGTACAAAATGGAAAATTGCAACTAGAATTTTCTGTGGTCATAGAACACCTTTCTAGGTGAAATTTTAGAGTCATTGTGTCTCTTAAGTATCTAATCAGGAAACAATCATTAGAACTTTTCAACCTTCAATCATCATGATATACAATAGTTTTTACAACATATTTTAATTAACTACAGAACATGTGCAGTAATTCTACGTTATATCTTCAGTCCTACGAATAAGAAAACAATGTAGTAAGTTTGTTTAGCAGACATCAAAATCATTAACATCAACATCACCTGGGATCGCTGACAAAATAAACCCAAATGAAAAATATGAGGAAAAAAAAGGGGATAAAAAAAAAATACTAGAAATGAAAACAGCAATAAACAATTAGGAAGAAAGTAAGTTTGTTTAACAGAATAAGAAATAAATCTTACTTCTGATCCTACCTCGACCACAAAACATATACATGTCTTCTCACCATGATCTTCTGTTGTACCATTCAAAATTGTCAGACCCAAGCTTCTTATGGCTTCTGCTATCTCAAGAAAATGGCTGCATTCCTCACACAACATCTGCAGCATAAGTCATAATTAGCATAAATAGGACATAATCAGAGGCTGATGTTGAGTAAGGAGCACTATCTTTGAAGGGCCTCCAATCACTTGCCCACTAACCTCCATTTCTCATAGGAGTTTTTCTCTTGCTCTTGTATTCAAAAAAAATATAAAAAGGTTATAATTTTCAACTCCTACATACCTCAACAAGCATCTGCCCGTTCTTACTAAGATTCTCCACTAGTATTGAACGAACTTTTAGATGGCCTCCTACCTCCATTGCCCAACTTGAACCCTGTTGATAGCTAGAGGAACCAAGATTGTCTTTTTCCATGTGCTGCAACTGCACATTTGATATGGACCAAGTGGTATTAAACAGATGGAGATAATAATAATAATAATAAAAAGTTCATACTAAAAAATTGTTGCTAGTCTTCAAATCAACAGATTATCTGAAATGGGTCATTTGAAACAAAAAACTTGGTATCTTTAATAGCAATGAAAGAAGTAAAAATCTTAGGGACTTGTTAAGGTGTCCTCAATGGAAAATGTTAAGGAGAACTTAATGTCAATGTTTTCATTAAAATACATTTTCTTTTTGAGGAAAAATAAATGTAACTTAAAAAATCAATGCACAAATCAATACAAAAGTAAATAACGAATATTTTTTAAAATATTCAAAATTAATTTTAATTTATAAAACCAACGTTTTAGTATAAACACAATTGATTGTTTCTTAAAAAATAACAAAATATTATTATGGGAAGACATTCTTAATGTGTAATCCTGATCATGAAACCAGTTAATTTGTAGTTAACCGAAACCATCTAAGTAAGCATATCTTCAAGTTCAAATATCAATACCTATTACTTAATTAATCAGTAGTATAGTCAGTTAACATCTTTATAGCCCATGAACAAGAGGATGTAGACTTCTTAAATATCATTAAGCCTTACCTTTGTCTTTGTATCAGAAAATTTATTTAGCTTGTCAGCATGCTTAGTTATGCTCTGGAGAAAGAGCATGTGCTTTATTGTGCACTCCAGTAGTGAATCAATGCTGCACTGTTGAAGTTATCATAAAAATTTTAGCCATGTGAGTAGGAATTACAACCATCACAAAATCAAAACTTACTGAGACAAGATTTTAAAATATATATTACAGCAAGATACCTTTGCTCCATTTGGCACCAGTTCTCTCAACTCCTTGATACGGTCTTGGATCAATTGTCTGTCCCTTGGTCTAGGCCTACAACTTTCCCCAGGCCTAGCCCTCTTCTTGCTGTTCTTAGCTGGTTCAGAAGATCTCTCAAACTGTTCACTACATGAACTAGGACATGCAGAAGAAAAACCTTTGGAGGATAGCACACCACATATCCCTGATGAACTCAAACTATGGTGTTTATCCTCTCTGACATCAGAGGTCTGATCTATTGAATAGCCTTCTGAATTAATAGTGTGCACAGAGGCTTCAGGATTTCTTCTTGATGCCATTGCAGACTGCATTGATGTAGAAAAAGATAACTCGTTAACATTATCATTACTATGGCAAACATTAGCCAGCATGGCTTCCAAAAGATGCTCCGGACGAGATTCAGAAGTCAATTGGCTACAGCTAATCTCGTCTGACATCTCAACAGTTTTAACATCTTGATTTGCCTGTGCCGCCCAATCAAAATATTTACTCCCTTTCAGAAAACCTGGTCCAAGAGCTTCATGTAGCTCATAGCCAGCAGGGAACTTCAACGTGTACGAGGTATCCTTGTAACAAGGCTCAGTCTGAAGCTTTGACTTCTGAGTATCTTTTTGGGAGTTTGCATCTGAAGGTCTGGGCACATTCAACACCCCTATATGGTTGATATCTACATGATGTAACTTATCACTTTCACAAACAACTGCATCAAGAAAGTCTGAAGGGAAGTATGCAGATGTAGTTCCAACTTTTTCTGACGGACTTATTAAAGCATTGATGCTATTATTATCCATAGTCAAATTGTGTAGAAATGATGAGACACTTTTTTCTGATTCCAAACTTGTATCTTTCCAGCCACTATTGTTCCCTCCAAATTTCTGATGTTCCATGCTCATCATGTTTGACATCGGCTGAAGCAAAATGGAACTTCTGTCACTGTTAAATTCCGGCCCCTCATGCTTGGCCACATCAGCAGTCATTTTCTGATAAACAGCATGAGGTGGATAGTTCTTCCCAGAAAATTGAACGGGCATTAAAATATCCAGTGTTTCACTCGTCATGGTTTTCTCTGTATCATGTAAGCAAGTAGGCATAACTTCTGACGACAAAGTTTTCATGGATACATCCAGCTGAAAAAGAAAATGAAATCTAAACCTCATGATAATGTTCAACGCATCTGGATTAAAAATAATTATGTATAGCATCACTTGCTCTATTAGTGTGTGAAAAGATGTAAATGCCAATGGTCACACAACCCCTACCCCACTTATCACACAAGCACATTCAAGCAGAGTGAAGACACATACACAGAGAGAAGTGGAGGCAAAGGTTACCAGAGATGATGAATTCCTGACACTATTTTGTACGTGACTAGGAACATAGCCTATTGTGTAATCTTGAGTAGACAAAAAAAGACTTTTGATATGAGTTACAACCCCTATATCTTCAATAACCTGCTATCAGGGATGACAGAAGAGCAAATTATTAAATATTTCAATAATAAATGGACTTCCATACAAAAGGTTCAACATATATTTGGGAAATAGTCCACAACCCATCAACCATATCCAAACTAAATTTTAAAGAGAAAATTAAGCGCCAGACCTACAAACTTACGAAACACTAGCATGCAACATATTAGAATAGGTCATAAAACTAATTTGAAAAAAAAGAGAGCAATTAGGCATAAAGTCTGTAATCAAAACTAATAAGCTTTCTCCAGATTAAGCAATCAACTTTTCTGCCAATTTATGTACCAATTTTGATAACAAAGAAAACAAAAGGACTCCAAAAGCTGGGTATTCACTGTTATCTAAACTTTCTACCGGTTTGGTCAGCATTTCCCCAAGAATATTACCTACTTCAACATGTTTGTAAGCAAACACTTGCATAGATAATGTTTCATACTAGTAACATCAGGGTTATCATAGTGAAAATGTATCTGCAAAATCAGCACTAAAAAATGCCTTTTATTTTATGCCAAATATTATAGTTTTGGTGGCTAGTTTTGTAGATTAAAATTAATACACTGGCAGCCAAACATGGACTATTAAGTTCTCCTTGATTTCCCTAAGAGCTTTTCACAAAATGGAATATATATTTACCTATTCAGTATAGTTAAGACTTAGGATTGACAAGTATTTAACCAACATTTCAATCACCACCTAAGCAATTACTACAAGGCAAGTCACATTATCAGAAAAGTTATGTTATGATAGCAAAAAAGTGCAAATAAAGTTTAAAATGCTGAAAATAAAGAAGTAATGCAAAGCATTATAAGGGATAACGTATGCCTTCTAGAACCACATTCACCAGTAACATGGAATTTAACCAACACAAAAAAAGGAGAAGACTATAGTCATCTTACTTTATTTAAAGAGCCAAGCTGAACAACTCCAAGTGGGACTACCGCTACAACAACAATGGTCTACAATGCAAAGAAAAGCTCTGTTAATGAAAAAATTTTAAGAAAAAGAAGGGGGCATCCTAGTAGTAGTATCATAAAGGACCCCACTATGCACAAGGTCCTAGGAAGTTTCAGACCCATAGTTTGGGTCTATAGTAGTAGTCTTACCTTACATTTACCTAAGGTTGATTACATGAAGCAAACCTATGACCTTGGGGTCACATTACAATAACACCAATCATTGTGCCAAGGTTCCCCTTCGTTAATAAATAATCTTAATGCAAACAAATCATCTTCTAGAAGTGAACCATTAGTTTTCTAACAGAATACATCAGAAGTCCAGATTCCAGAACCTAAATTTTATCAACACCACGACTTTTTCTTCCTTCATTACTCTGCAACAATCCATCTATTATAACACAGAAAAATCTAAGTCCATATACTTTATTTTAACAAAATATAACTCTAATAAAGACTCTAATGTAGCATCAACTGGAGTACTTTTACGTGAAAAGATAATATTGTTACAAACTAATTGATACAATGCAGCATATATGACTAATCATAGTATTTAAATATCAGCATCTGATATAACTCTGGCATTTGGATCACCAAAGCATAATTCAATCTTCAACAGGGTAATACCAGACCATGCACATATTTTCATCTGAGTCTACAAGCTTCTGCAAATGCCCTACTAAGTAAAAAGTATATCCGAGTCTGTTAGAGTGAGTGAAATAGGAATAATGACCCAGGGTCCTTCAATGGCTAGATAATTCATCATATTAAGCCAATTACCGTATTAACCACAATTTTTCAAATGCATTGATCAAAGTAAATCATCCATTATCCTTAGTAATGTGAGGCAATTCCAATTTCTGGGTAAATATAGAAATTTCTCTCTAGCAGTTTTCATTGAGAGTGAATTTTGTAATTTAACAATTAACTTACCCTAATTCCAGCAGAAAACTGAGATTGCCACCCATCAGCAAACTGAAAATTAAACCAAAGAGGGAATGAAAAGAGATTGATTGGAAGATTAGTTATATAAACTATACATCATACACATCCAGTACCAATTAGAGACCTTCAAATCTTACAAAGAGGAGAGAACATTAGTGGCTAGAGGCAACATAGGAGAAGAAGGATTCTCACCTCAAAAGATGGGCCAGAACTTGTAACTTGAGTATCTGCACAGATCCATCTATGCTTTCCGGTAACAGCTACCTGTCCGACAATACTGTAAAAAGAGGGACATTAGGCTAAGAACTACATAAAAGAAAAATCTAATCCTAAATAGCATATATGGTCATTAGATTACTCATACCCTTCCCCTAACGAATATACATGATATGACATCTTTGCCACAGCTAACCGTAGAGGGTCATGCGAAAAATCCCCACTGCCAATCTGCTCCAAGGTCTTCTGGCAGCACTTATTTTTGAAAGAGTCATAATTATCAGGATGATCATAGTAAGCATCCTCCCATGTCAAGGTCCTGCAAGGAAATACCACCACCTAAAAAGTAATTAAGGGAACACATGGAATTTAACTCTTTGGGCTAAGTAAATGCAAAACCCCAAATCAATAGATGACTACTAAGTAATGTGTTATATGACCAACTACATTTAAGACAGAACAATAATATCACTAACAAACGCAAGCCTTAGCACATTGCTGGCACGCAACAACCACAGTAACATAAAGCACTCTGACTAGATAGAAAGATTATAATCCATCAAACAAGATGCTTTTAGAACACAGTAGTTTTCCTTTAAGCCAAAATAGAGAGTTACACATATGCCCTTTTTAGTTCAAAATAAAAAATTGGTTATTGTAATAAGTATAACATATATGCTTTAATCTAATCACCTACAAACCATTATAATGAAGAAATTCAGCATAAGCACGGAAATCACCAAACTTGGAAGAAGAAGAAAAAAAAAAACATAGAGGGTAGGGACGAAAAAATTTCATACTAAAAAGATGCAATTCATAAACAAAGCTAAAAAAGAAGGACAAGTAAAAATGAAAACATAAACCGTACATCCGAGCACAATGTTTGAGCTTCCAAAAGATGGCATACTTCCAATCAGTATCCAAACAAAGGCTTCTAAGTAGTTGGTGCAAGTTGGTACTCATCTTCTTCTTCTTCTTCTTCTTCACAAAATCAAAACATAAACACCCTGAAGAAAGGGTTGTTAACCACTCCTCCCAAATAAAAACCAACAACAACAACAACAAAAACCCTCCAATTCCCACAACACCACCGTTGCCTTAGCTTCCCCTATAAGACCCTCTTCCAGCCTGCTTCCTCCGCATCCCTGCTCGCCGTTTTAATGGCGGTCCAACCGTCTGCAATAGCAACCGATCCCTACCCATCACCACCATCTTCCACTTCAACCCAAGCTTCCAACTTTTCTTCTTCACAAGTTTCTCAAATGATTGACAATTGTTGCAAAACCAGAATCCACCAAACCCATGACACGAACGTTGCAAATTTTCATGAAACATGCAGGGAAGGGAAGCACCTCAGCTGTTCTAGCCTATATCCGAAGACATGGATGTTGCTAAAAGAATGAAACTGTGTGTGTCTGAGTGAATTTCTCTGAAAATAAAAATAAAAAATAAAAATAAAAAAAGGTGTCAACTGAGAAAAAGGGGTGTGCTGAAAATGGAAAAGAGACCACAAAGTTCAAAGCTTTATGAGAACTGAAACCATAAATTTCTAATCTTTGAGCTACATTTGTCGAAGAAAAGAAAAACTCACTGTTTTGCTTCTTTTTCTTTTTCACGGTTAGAGAGAGAGAGAGAGAGAAACAGTTTCTCTTTGTTGCTTGCTTTCAGAAGAGAGAGTGTGTGTTTTTGTCAATGGTGGAAATACAAAAGTGGAAGTGGGAGAAGAGTGTTTTATGTTGGAGTTAACATGCGCACTATGTTTCCTTATAGCTTATGGTGCGCATTTTAGCAAAGGGCAAAGGCATGATGGGCACATGCCCTTGAGAAGGAACAATAATGAAGGGTTATTAAGATCTTAACTTAAGCTTATATTTAAACTAAACAAGTAACAAGTAACAAGTAACAACTCTCCATGAAGACAAAACTTTGGGAAGGGGAAGAGAGAAAATAATGAAGATTTGGAACAATCCAACTAAGTTATGAGTACGCTTTATGGTGGTGTCTATTGATATGGCCAACAACATCATACCAAATTGAGGAAATGCATCCTTATCTTCCCCTCAAGATTTTCAATCCATTTTTTTTTTTTTTTTGAATCACTCCGTGAAGTTACTCGCTCTTAAGAATTAAGGTCCTTTTCAACAATGATCTTATTGCCCTAAAGTTGTGACACTCCCAACACCCCATTTTTCATCACTTCTAACTTTTCCAACTTTATACCTCATTATAATTAATATTCCTTCCGGATTCTAGGTCCTAATAATACGAATTTAATAAGGTTTCTTATTGGGCCAACCCATGTTTCATTGAATGGAAGCCATGCCTTATGATATCATATCATATCATGCATCGGTTTACCCGGGTGACTTCAATTTGATCCTGTTTCAAATGGAAAAGTCAAGCATGTCTATGATTTCATTGCATAAGTTTTATTCTAAGATGTTTCTTGTCCTACCACCACCTTAGAATATGTACGTTACCTTGTCCCGCACCAACTCAGCATCATTTTTGGAATCCCATCATTTGTTTTAACACTGCTATATTCGAGAGTGATTATTGCAATTGATTTTTAATCATTTTATCTTCTTTTTTATTACACCATTTTTGTAAGAGTAGTACTAGTAGATGTGCTGAATTTAGACATTAATTGTTCATAAAGGACAAAATACAAACTACGGTTAAAAGATAAGTGATCCCATTGTTCCACTTAACAATCAAATGCTGTTGCTTTGGTAATGTAAAGATTCAATCTGTCGAAAGTAGTTAACAACGCTTTACCTGGTTTCCTAGCAATATTAAGGCACAATCAAGCAACTTTGTGTTTTGTTGCTTAAACATCTCACTAGACACTTCAAGTTTCCTGAATTATCGATCACCGATCATAATAATGGCCCATCATCTATCATCCCAAATTTGACTGCAAGAGGATGGATGTTGCTGGTAATCAAATGGGTCTCTAGATATTGCTTCAAAATTTTATCTTGGTCAAAACCCACAAACAAAATAATTATATTGGTCTATAAAATATAGAACAAATGCAGATAAAAATAAAATGGATCATTACTATTATTCTTCAATCGCCGAATGAATAAAAACTCTGAACAGCTGTTATTATTATTACTTTGCAATAAATTTAATACTATTGTGATCAAAAAGCTTGCTCGGTTTATGGTCATTGGAAAAAAGTCAACTAGGCTATATGCATGAATACGCTAAGTTAGTGATAAGGAATGACTATTATCATGAATGCAAAGAGACAAACAACAATGATTTCTCTCGTGTTAATATTTTCCTAGTTTTTATCAAGAAATTGAGTTTTCTACTTTCCTCACATTCGGTATCCGGTAGTTAATTGCAACAATTAATCCGGATTTGAGCAGGATATTAACATACGACTGCAAAATTCTATCTGCCATATTTTAACATGGAGTAGGATTCTTTAATATCGGTATTAAATAAAAAGTTTGACACTTCATCTGAGGGTCATTAGATCAAAGCAAATCAATGATACCACATGTTTGTAAATCAAAGTCGTTAGTAGACAAGATCAATAACTTTCAGATGAAGTGTCAAATTTTTTTCCTTTGACACCCCTGCCCTTTTTAACATCACTACATACTCAAAATTCAAATTTCATATCATTGTTATGTTGTAAAAACTCTCCAACAATTGATAGTATTTTCCTCACTCTTTTGTTCAGTGAATTACATCATTGGTCCAATATTTGTGGATTTAACATATCAAGGTAATGTTGTGATAATATTTGTATTACGTTTTTAATTTGCATTTAGATTTCAAAGGTCACCTTTTATCATGTCTGTGATCTTCCTTTTTCTTGCTTTCCCTTTTTCTCCAAACATGTTTGGGAGCCAAAATAATCCCAAGGAGATCTTGTACCTGAGCTTTAATAACACGTAATTTAAGGATGAATCCTTAGCCTCCAAAGTCATGAGTAGTAGTTTGATCTACCCGCTTTCTCTCCTAGTCAATATTGATGGGCGTGAAAACAGAACACCCATATGAATCCCAATTTTAAATATGATGAATAAGTGACATTAGTGGCCACTACCTAAATGAATTATCTTATAGCTAGAAGTTAAGCAACCAGAAGATTTGTTTTTACTGAAACTTGCTTGGGAATCTACCAAGATAAATATCTTAATTAGTATCTAAGAACAGGCATAAGGAATCCAAAGATGATTACTAGCCTTAAACTCTTTTTAATTACCCTTTCTTCAATAATTTCATTTGCTGAAGTCACAATATTTACTGTCTTTGAGTGTAAAAAAAGAAACTGGTGTTCTTGTCAACTTGTTATTTACTATTAGAAAGAATTCAATTTGAATGTGTTATGATATAAAAAAAGTTTACATTATCATTTGATGATATATTATTATTATTATTAAATGACGTGACAGACATTGATATTAAATTTTATTAAAAAATTACATTTCTAATTTCAATAAGGAGTATCATTATCATATTTGCAAAATGTTGTAGTCCATTCCTCGACCACTTAATAATTAATGTTCTATGATGATAACTACAACTGTTAATATGGTCCAAAATCGAGTTGTCACTTTCGGCAAAGGTACATTTCAGGTAGAATAATAAAGTTACTGTTGATTTCTATTGGGGTATGCACAAAGCAGATATTGACCATATCCAACAGCATGAAATCTTAAATGATACCGTTGCTAGGAAAGTCAAGCATTATGCGTTTTAAAATTGATAAACTTTGTGCTAAAAAGGGTTATTCCTACCACCATGAAAGCTACAAATCCTTTTGTAACCACACGTAATTTTAGCAAGATAAAGGGCATACTCCAAAATGTGTCCTTCGAAGATAAGGTAGGTTTAGTGGCATTTATGATTTAGTAGAGCTCTTACCGATATTGTATACATAAATTCTTCTTTGTTTTGTTTTTATTTTTAATTTTATTTTGTTGATTTTGGGTACCTACTTCATTCTGTTCTAATTCTTATATATAAACAATTGTTTTAACCAAAAAATTTAAGTTATTAGATGAATATTCCATTAATAATTTTATATTATATTTTTTTTAAAACGTCTCCTCGTATAAGAGGATTTGAAGGATAGATAATACAAAAAATAAATTATTTATACTTGGATTGACTTCGTGACTACTTGATCACAAAATCTCTAATAACATGTAAATAATTATTTCAATCTAAAAGCTTAAATTATTAAATAAATGACACATTAATAATTTAATATTATATTTCTCTAATATTCACCATTTAAATTGAAATATTCAACAATGATCGTGAAAAATAATCTATATCGAGAACATCCAAAATATAAAACTTATATGAGATGAAAAGATTGATCTTTGACTATCACGAGTAATTCCTTTTTAATAAAATTCCGTGATTCACGAATCACGACCACATTTTCAGTGTTAAAGGAGTAGGTACTTAATATTTCTAACACTACTTTTCTAAAAAAAAAAAAAAAAAAAAACCTCATATTGAATGAAATAACCACAAAATAGGAATAGTATAAATATATTATTTTTTCATATTTAGCAAAAGATGTAGTACGAAAATATTGTGTGATTCGCAGCACTAGGTAACAACAACAACAATTGGAGGTTTGAAGAAAGCCACTAATCAAATCTTTCTTTTTTTTTGGTCAATCTAATCAAATCTTTTAAATCCTAGAGAATCTAATCTATTGGATTTAAATTAAATTAGTTAAGGAAGTCCACAGTTTTGAAGGGTTTGTAACCATTCAAAGGATTCTTAGTAGCTATCATCAAGACATATTAAAATAAAGAGAGAAAGGCATTGGTTTATAAGTGCATACACTTTGTTGTTAAGCAAAAATGAGATTTGTCTTCATCCTGAAGGGTAGCTTTCAACCAATAAAATGACAGTGTTGCCATCGCTTTTATAGGAGTGAAAATGGAAGGAATGAAGAGAGACGTAGAGTTAAACTGACCATTGATCCAAAGGCGATGCATAATATGATAAGCCTTTAATCTTTAATGTAAATAAGTTATTTATACTCCTAAAAAGATATTGTTTTGGATCGAAAGATTAAAAAATTATAATGATACAGACTGTTATATTATAATTACAAAAATATATTGATTTCGTCTCAAAATAACATTATCTTGGGCTCAATATAGATAATTTATCTACATTAATTGCAGGAAAAAAAAAAACGAACCCATGTAATAAATACGGAAATATTTAATATGGTCCAAGATCATTTATGATTCAGTGATCCGAATCAATGAAAAATAAGTATTTTCTGACTCGCTTACATGGAGGAGAGAGAAATTTTGTTTTTTTCTCCAAGTGACAGCTCCTCAATGGAAGGAGTAGGTGTGCGTGTGCCGGGACTACTATAAATACTCTCCATAAATACCAATTTTCAATCACTTTTTTCTCAACTTATTCATTAAACAAAAACACTACAAGATGGCTTACACTCTGATGTATATCAAACTTTCTTCTTGCTGATGAAGTGAAAAAGTTGAATATACAAGAATAGTCACTTCACAATTAGATTTTCCTTCAAAGCAGGGAAACTATCTTCTGTACCAAACCAAAGGAATGGAAGATTAGAGGGACAACTGCTATATACTTTTGACCCTCTTCCTTCATGTGGGGACATGACATGATTATTGACAAAAAAATTATACCTTATAAAGTCATTGGTGTTGTATCTAAGTCCAATTTTCTTCCTATTTTGGATGCTGGGTTCGTTATCCTTATTGCTTGGACAAAACTTACAAGTCACAAGGATCATCAGCTTGATTCTGAAACATTGCTTATCACTTTGTTAATTCAGTGGATGTGAGTCAGTGAACTGTTCATTGAGAGGATCAAGTTCTTGTTCTGTCGTTAAACTATTCAACATTCTTAGCCGTATGTAATCATGTAAATGGGAAAATTTTGAAGACTCTACAGCAAACTTTTCCAAGCACTAGCCGCAAAGATAGGATATGGAGATTCAGCTTGTGATTATTTTTTTTTGCTAGCTTTGAGAATCAATAGTGAAGTTCATTGAATCTTACCAACCCAAAAAAAAAAAGTAAGTGGCGCTGCTGAATGCAAAATTGTAAAAAATATTGCTGAATATAAAAGCAGTGGTTTGTTTTTTTTAGGCCAAGTTGCCCAATTATTCTCTAATTGAACAAACTAGCATCCTTCAATTTATGTATGTACACATGTTGAAGACAAAAGATGATGATGTTATTGAAGCTTGTATCGCTCAAGTGGTGGCACTCTGGCATGAGTATCTGCTACGTAAGTACTAAGGAAGTCTTTGAATTCAAAAGATTTGTAAAGAGAAGGAACACAGTCACCAACAACAAGTGCTTTTGCAGGCTCAATATGGCAATTGTGGGATGGAAGGATGAAGCAACCAACTGTTGTTCGTGCAAGTCCTTTGCTTGTCACCACTCTGTGATCAGCGCTCATCAACTTCCCATTGCTGATAATCTACAATCATATCAATGAACCAGTAATTTGAGATTCAATCCAAGAATAACTCACCAAGTTGCTATACAATATAATGAACACTTAGAAACATAAGAAAAAAAGTGAACAGAAATAAAAAATCACTCTCCGTTAAATCTGAAGGAAAATAATAATATAAAAGATACTCAACCTAAAATTGGGTAAGGATTGATTGAAGAAATTTCTATTACCGAACCTATGGATGAAATTGTTTTAAGGATTGTTAAACTATATTTTTTTTAAAAGTAAACTTGAGAATTGATGTTTGGTACAAGTTTTTAAAAATATTTCTGGAAATTATTGATTTCTAATGAAGTGACATTCTCATACAATATTCCATTTTTATATGAGGTAAGGTGGGGTATGTTATTTTCCAATCATATAGCAGTGTAACTGAATGCGGGTCAATGTGGATCTGCATGATAAAAAAGTAGCAGTGTACCAGTTTAACCTGGTTTCTATAGTTAAGTGTATGTGTCTAGCACTTAGAACTCATCCTCACCACACAAACCGACTTTAAACTAAGATAATTGCACACAAACAGCCTATCAATTTGAGCCATCTATTTTTCGCTTAACTCTTTTGCATGTGAACTTGTTAGAGGGTAAGCGGTTGTTTTTCTTTTAGATGAAGTATCTCAATGTAACGGTTGAGCAGTTACTTTGAAGTATGTGTCGGGAACTCGGTTCTCTCAAGCTCGGCTAAGGAGCCTTTGTGCGGAAGTCAATCAACAAGATCCTGATCTCGGATCTCGGCAATACCTCGGCCTGAACTTCACCAGGTCAGGCAGCGCAGCGGAAAAATCAAAAACGAAAAATCACAAAATAGGAGAGAGAGAGAGAAGAAGAACACAACCAGATTTAACGTGAGAAAACCTTCTTCAATGAAGAAGTAAAAACCCACGGGACCTAGTCCAGATCAAAAATTCATTATGAAAATAATGGTTACAACGAATCAAATACACTAATGTGGTGGCTAACTCAACCTCTCCAACAATGGTGATAATCAAACTACCCTAGAGATGTTTCACTCAAACTCTCTCTAGAGATCTCTCAAATGCAAAGCATAAACTTTGCTCAAACAATCAAATAATTTTTCTCTCAAATTTGTTTTCTCAAAATCTGACCTGGCCTCCACCCTCAACTAATGAGTATATATAGGGGAGGTGGAAATTAGGGTTAGGGTTTTTAGGAAACCCCTCAAATGGGCTTGGGCTTAGCATTGAAGGAGGAAGCCCAACAAATCTCCCCCTCCGACTTCAATGCGTCGGCTTCAGCATCAACCCGGCTCCTTCACAACAGTCTTCAAATTTTCTTGCTGGAACCGGCTTTGTCATCATGTCGAACCAATTTTGGTCAATGTGTACCTTGACGAGTTCGAGCTCACCACCTTCCACCACATCCCGGATCCAGTGATACCTCACATCAATATGCTTAGCGCGGGAGTGATAGGTTGAATTCTTCGCAAGATGGATTGCGCTATGATTGTCACAACCCAGCTCGTACTTGTCTTGATCATGGCTGAGTTCCATAAGGAACTTCTTCATCCACAACACTTCTTTGCTTGCCTCAGTAGCGGCAATGTACTCAGCCTCAGTTGTCGATAATGCAACACATTTCTGAAGTCTTGATTGCCAAGAGACAGCTCCTCCGGCAAATCTCATCAAATATCCTGTAGTCGACTTCCTCGAGTCGGCGTCTCCCCTCAAATCAGAATCTGAGTAGCCTTGCAACTCGGCTTTGCCTTCTCCAAATCGGAGACATAAGTCGGTCGTACCTCGGAGGTACTTGAAGATCCGCTTCACTGCTTCCCAGTGTTCTTTGCCGGGTTTGACAAATACCGGCTTACCATTCCAACAGCATACACCAAGTCGGGTCTAGTGCAAACCATTGCATACATCAAGCTTCCGACGAGAGATTGGTACGGGACCTTCATCATTTCATCTTTGTCTTCATCAGATCTCGGACATTGCTTCTGATTCAGCTTTATGTGTCCGGCTAGGGGGGTGCTCACTGTTTTGGCTTTGTCCATGCTAAATCTCTTCAAAATCTTCTCAATATATTTCTCTTGACTCAGCCACAGTAGCTTCTTTTGTCTATCTCGGATGATCTTGATTCCGAGAATCTGCTTTGCAGGGCCAAGGTCCTTCATTGCAAATGACGAGCACAACGCCTTTTTCAGGGCGACTATCCTCGATTTGTCTTTCCCTACAATAAGCATGTCGTCAACATATAACAACAAGATCATAAAGTCTCCTGCCTCATACCTCTTCACAAATATGCAGTGGTCGGCTTCAGTCTTCTCAAACTTATGATCAATCATGAATGATTCAAATTTCTTGTATCACTGCTGAGGTGCTTGCTTCAAGCCATAGAGGCTCTTCTTCAATCGACATACCAAGTCTTCTTGGTCTGGAGCTTGGAATCCTTCAGGTTGCTCCATATATATTTCTTCTTCTAAATCACCGTGAAGAAATGTCGTCTTCACGTCCATTTGTTCTACCTCGAGGTCCATCGAAGCCGCCATGACTAACACGGTTCGGACCGAGGTCATTTTCACCACAGGAGAAAAAATCTCCTCAAAATCAACTCCTTTCTTTTGATTGCAGCCTTTCACTACAATTCAGGCTTTGTATCTCGGCTTTTGCCCGTTTTCTTCATTCTTAATCTTGTAGACCCATTTATTTTTCAGAGCTCGTCTTCCTTCTGGCAATTCGGTCAGCTCATAAGTCTGATTCTCGTGCAGAGACTTCATCTCGTCTTGCATTGCCTTTTCCCATTCTTCTTTCTCTGAGCTCGTCACAGCCTCATCATAACTCTGAGGCTCACCGTCTTCAGCAACAACGATGTATTCATCAGATGGTATCTTGTAGAGGGTCTTCTTTCTCGAGTTGGATATCTCGGCTGTTCTTCAGCTTGAGAACCCGGTTCATCATTCTCATCCCGGATCTCATCATCAACTCGGACCTCAGTGTCTTGGTCATCTTCAGCTTGTTGTTGATCGTCAATTTCTTCATTCTCTTGATTTTCTCCCCCTGCTTCAGCTCGGACAGAAGGGATGGGTTCTTCACGTCTGACAGTAACCCGGACTTTGGGCTTCGAGATGTCATGAATGTTCTCATGCTCATGAAAGATCACATCTCGGCTTCTCACGATCTTCTTATTGATTGGATCCCAAAGTCGAAACCCGAACTCACATCTCGGCGAACCAAGATAAATGCATTTTTTAGTCTTTGCATCAAGTTTGGCCCTTTCATCTTTAGGGATATGCACGAAAGCTCGGCATCCAAACACCTTCAATTGATTATAGGCCGCTTTCCGACCTGTCCAGACTTCTTCTGGGATTTCTCCTTCAAGTGGCCGTGATGGTGAGAGGTTGATCAAGTCAACAGCTGTTTTGACGGCTTCTCCCCAGAATGATTTCGGCAATCCGGCATTGGATAACATGCTTCGGACCTTCTCTTCAATAGTTCTGTTCATCCGCTCAGCCAGTCCATTCAACTGTGGAGTCTTGAGGGGCGTCTTCTCAAGTCGGATCCCGGCCGCTCTGCAGTATGCATCGAAAGGGCCGCAATACTCACCACCATTATCAGATCGGACCACCTTCAATTTCTTGTCAGTCTCCCTTTCAACCATAGCATGGAATTCTTTAAAGGATTGGAGTACCTGGTCTTTAGACTTCAACAAATATACCCACACTTTACGGGAATGGTCATCAATAAATGAAACAAAGTACTGAGCTCCTCCAAGGGATCTTTCCAACATGGAGCAGACATCAGTATGGACGAGGTCAAGAATATACCTGCGTCGTCTTGGTTGATCCGGTCTCACAAAAGAAACTCGGTGCTGCTTTCCAGCTAGGCAATGCGTGCAACTCTCCAACGCTTGGCCTTTCAACCCGGTCAGTAATCCTTTCTTGTTCAGGATCTGTAACCCTTTCTCGCTCATATGGCCGAGGCGCTTGTGCCATAGCTCCAAGCTAGGTTCATCTCGAACAGAATTGGCTTCTCCGCCATTGATCTTTCCTTGCATCACGTACAAGGAGACTTCTTTCTTACCTCGGGCCACGACCAAGTTTCCCTTGGCCAGCTTCCATCTAACACTACCGAAGTAGTTCACTAACCCGGCATCATCAAGTTTGCCTACCGAGATTAGGTTCAAACGCATGTCAGGAACATGCCTCACATCCTTCAACACAAGTCGGCACCTGACATCCGTGGTCATAGTTACATCACCGACACCAACAATCTTGCTGGTCACTTGATTTCCTATCTTCACGACTCCAAAATAACCACCTCGATAAGAGGAGAAAAAACCTTTGTGTGGAGTAACGTGGAAGGAGGCACCGGAGTCAACAATCCAGGTGCAGTCATCATACGCAACATTCAAATAATTATCCTCACCTAGGAGGAATATATCGGCATCAGGGTTTGCAGCCACCGCAGTGGTGCTCTTGTCTTCCCTCTTCTTGGGAATAATCTGATCCGGCTTCACAGAGTCGTTCTTCTCATCATTTTGTAGGGTCCAGCAGTCTGACTTCTTATGGCATGTCTTTCCACAGTAAAAGCACTTCAACTCATATTTCGGCTTTGACCGACCTCTGGACTTGTCTCGTCTGTCACGACCTCTACCCCGGCTTTTGCTTCTACCCCGGGAGTCGGATTTTCCTTTGTTCTTAGCAACGTTGGCCTCAGACCTACTCGAAGTACCTCGTTCTCTTCTCCTGGATTCTTCGCCCAGGAGGTTGTCTATCATGACATCCATCTTCAATTTTCCATCTGGAGTCGAGTTATTCAGGGTCACCACCAGAGTATCCCAGCTTTCTGGCAGCGAGCTCAACAGCAGCAATGCCTGCAATTCTTCATCAATTTTCATATCAGCCTTTGACAACTGATTCACAATACTTTTGTAGGTGTTCAGGTGTTCAATCATGCTCATGTCGTCCTTGTATTCAAGCTTAACAAGTCGGCGAACCAGGTGTGCGTTGTTCCTGGGAGTCTTCTGTATCATGGACTCCAGCTTCGTCCACAACTCATACGCGTTCGTGAATTCGGACACGTGCTCAAAGAGGCTTTTATCAATATATTTCCTGATCGTGGCTACCGCCTTCCGACTCAGGATTTCCCACTCCTTATCAGTTTTGCCTGCCGGTCTCTCATCAAGGATAATGGGCTCATGTAAATCTTTGCAGTAGAGATGATCTTCCATCATCGGTCTCCAATAAGTGAAGTTGTCTGCGGTCAACTTGAACATATCTCCACCATGAGTTATGCCACTGGTCTCCATCTCGTCTCCCTCAGAACCCGTCGAACTCGGGCTCTGATACCACTGTTGGGAACTCGGTTCCCTCAAGCTCGGCTAAGCAGCCTTTGTGCGGAAGTCAATCAACAAGATCCTGATCTCGGATCTCGGCAATACCTCGGCCTGAACTTCACCAGGTCAAGCAACGCAGCAGAAAAATCAAAAACGAAAAATCACAAAATAGGAGAGAGAGAGAGAGAGAGAGAGAGAAGAAGAACACAACCAGATTTAACGTGGGAAAACCTTCTTCAATGAAGAAGTAAAAACCCACGGGACCTAGTCCAGATCAAAAATCCACTATGAAAATAATGGTTACAACGAATCAAATACACCAATGTGGTGGTTAACTCAACCTCTCCAACATTGGTGATAATCAAACTACCCTAGAGATGTTTCACTCAAACTCTCTCTAGAGATCTCTCAAATGCAAAGCATAAAACTTTGCTCAAACAATCAAATAATTTTTCTCTCAAATTTGTTTTCTCAAAATCTGACCTAGCCTCCACCCTCAACTAATGAGTATATATAGAGGAGGTGGAAATTAGGGTTAGGGTTTTTAGGAAACCCCTCAAATGGGCCTGGGCTTAGCATTGAAGGAGGAAGCCCAACAGTATGAACTATGAAGAATGTAAAAGGGCATGTTTGGTAGCGAGAAATCTAGTATATTATAGGAGTAAGTACAGTGAATTTATAGGAGCATGCTACGTCAGTATTAGAAAAAGAAAAATAATAACTTCTGTATTTTACGTTATGTACTACCGGTAATACATAATGTAAATACACCGTTTCATCGTGATTGGTGCGCTTGTGGCACAGAAGAAGCGCTCGTTTGGTAGGGAATTTTTTTGAGATTCTCGGAAAAGTGATAGTGATAATCCTATTTACCCACGTTTGATATAAGTTTTCTGATTTTTTTTCTTCAGAAATATGATTTTCACGCGATTTTGTTTTGTGTACAATTTTTCTTCCAAAATGCCACCCAAAAATACCACCAAAAGAGTGGTACTCTTGGAATCCTAGGTATTGGAAAAAATTTACACTTTTTTTGGGACAAAATTTTAGTAATATTTTGGCTTACCAAACAGCTTTTTAGTAACATTACAGAAAAGTGACTTTCCCACCATATTCCTTAGAATCATGATTTTTGGACACGAAAAAATTTATCCTCTTCCAAACTTCCCTTTACGGAGGTGTCTGGTATGAGAGAAAAAAAAAATTTACCCGAGAATCATGATTTCTGGCAATATGGTAGGAATTTTTTTCTGGGAATGTTGGGTTATTTTTCTGATGCTATGTTTGGTTGATTGTAAAATATTGTTGGGAATGTTGCATAGAATTATAAAAATACCCATTTGTTTGAATACATCATCTGTTTAATCGTTTCCCAATCCAGACCAATTTCATCCAACAATTTGCTTTATCGTTTCCCAAGGGGTGGGAAAAAAATTACACCATAGGTCAGAGGGTATTTTTCTTTGGGAAAGTATAGTATTAAAATAAATGATGAAAAAAAAGTAGCTGAGAATATTTTCAAAATATGCATATCAAATATTGACAATTTTTTTCCCACCCCCAATTCTCGTGAATCCACGCAAAATCTGCGTACTAAAAGCAGAGTGACAGTACTATTTTTATAATATTTAACAATGTTGTGAAAACCGGACCGGCCGGGTCGATCCGAAATCTAGTAAACTGGTCATCTGACCGGTCCTGTTATCACATTGGATCGGTCAAGTATCAGACCCGGTACGACCCGATCGGTTTTGGTAAAAAACCGGCGACCCGGTCCGGGTTTTTTAAAAAATATTTTAAAAAAAAAGTTTTCCAAAAAAAAATCATGATTGACATATTTGAGTGATCTGTTACTTATTTACTTACATAAGTTATGTACCTACAATCTTAATATTATTTCAGTTATGCACTATGCAGAGAATTTTGATTTGATAGTTAGAGATGTCATTTACCGAACCTGAAACACCAATATAACAAGCATTATGTGTTTGTTTGATCCTTTATTGGACAATAATGTATAATTTGTTATTTTTTATATTAAAATATTTAGAATTTGTATTATTTTTTTCAGTTATTTGAGTATATTTATAAATTTTTTAATATAAATTATAGATTTATATATAATCACCGGGTCATGCGGTTCAACCAGTGACCTAGTACCTCGATCGAATCATTGACCGAACCGGTTTTAATAACATTGATATTTAGATTAGTTAGTTGCTTTATAGATTTTTATAGTTTTATTATTTTTTTAAGGGAGATTATTTTCTCTTGAAAAATCATCTCCTGTTGTCTCATATTATTTTAATTTTTTTAAGTTTTTTTTTTAATTGATAGGACCCATCATAGGAATATTTTTATGACATAAAGAGGAAAAACTTTCTGCAACATAAAAAAAATATTTCGTCGTTTTTTAAATAAGTTCATATAGTTTAAAGATTTATTATGAGATCTTAAAATTTTAAATAAATATATAAGACTCTTCCAAATTCCAATCATTATTAAACTATTAACACAGTAATCTATTCCGATCCAGCACTAAGGCATGGTTTGGTACCAGGATAAGAATAAGAATAAAAAAAAGCTCATAGATAAGTTCTTATAAGTAAAAGTGTATTGAATCAAATCGAATTCATAAATTTTGTAATCTTATGTTTACCCCCAAACCAAACTAAACAGAACCTTAGAAGATAAAATTGGACTTTGATGGAATGATATATTCAATTAGAAGGACATAAATTATGCAACACAATTGACTTTAGTTATATGGTAAATGTTGACTAACATTTTTCTCTAAAATTATGCAAACTAATTTTATGGGAAAGAGAGTAGATGACAAAATTGAGGAATAGGAATAGGGATGAACCTGCAACATGTGTCCAATATTAACCACTAGTGCATTGGGAAGAGGCTCAACTGCAAACCATTGTCCATCCTTCCAGACTTGCAGCCCATTCATTTCACCTTGAAAAAGAAGAGTTATGAGAAAAACATCACCATGTTTAGGCAAACCCAAAGTTAAACTTGGGTCTGGACAAGGTGGGTAATGATTTATAGCCATTAATTGAACACTGCTAAGTTCATTATTGAAATATCCAGATTCAAGTCCCAATCCTTTGCAAATCATATCCAAAAGCTGCAAACTGAGCTTCCTCACTTTCACTGAATAGCTCCCCATCACATCCCTGCCCAACCAAGCAACCAATTAATATTTAGAATCATTTTTGCTAGAATCAAATTCTTCACAACTAAAAGGTTCTGCACACATGTACTAATAAGATATAATATTGAAAATTTCATGGACTCATTGCATGAACCTGTACATACTGATATCTAGTTGGCTTATTAGGCCAGTTTTGGATGTGTTCCTGTAAAGGATGACAAGGATGCTTTAGAGAATCTCTCCAGTAGTGTACATCCTCATTAGCATAGTCAATGCTTGTATATAATCGACAACCTTGCTTAGGGTCCTCTGAGTATAACCTTGCCTTGTCCTCAATAGGTAATTCAAAGAACTCCTTGGCTACTTGCGTTGCATCATCCAATAGCTTATTGGGAATGCCATGATTCACCAACTGCGTTTTGTTTTCAATTCATGAATATTTGAACAATATGAGATTTAGTCAAATATAAAGCAAAAACTATTGGGTAAAACTAAAAGTGGCAAACCGAAGCAGTAGTAAAATTGTTCCTTCGTGACTGAAAGATCATGAGTTCGAATCCAGGAAACAGTCTCTTTGCAATTATGCAAGAGTAAGGCTGCGAACAAAGATTTCCTTCACTCTACACTCGCTAGTCGGGTTTAACGGAGAGTGAAAATAAAGTAAAAACTAAACAACACTAAGATTGTTCCTTGTGATAAGATGTAGGGGAGCCTTGTGCATTTGGGTTCACACTTTTATAATGCAAAAGCTAAATACATGCTCCAATTGGATGGGACTAAAAATAACAATCAATTTACTTGAATTTCAACAAGTAGGGGTTAAGAGTAAATGCTGGACCTGAAAGAATCCAAATTCTTGGCTAGCCTTCATAATTTGCTGAGTTAGAGTTGAATTATCATGACATAATTCTCCACCTAGATCAATTACTGGTACCATGTTGCAGAGAGGAGCTTCTTTCCCAGGTCTGCTTTCTGGTGGTAGTATGTAAGACTCTGGAACATATTGCAAGTTGCATCTGCTAGAGATGAGCTTCTCCATGCTATTTTGATTGATATTAGGGAATGGTAACTACCATAAACAGATTATAGCTTAGTTGACTTCATTAAGCATATTCCAAACTTTATGCCGTAAACCATTTTCCTTTTTTGATTAAATACTAATAGCAATGCTCAATAAAATATAATAAATGCAAATAATGACAATCAATGTTAGTTAGTATAAGCAATTGTGAAGAATGAATTTGCCGCATCACATCACATGGAGTCCTAAGATAACGCCAAATCACTTCTGCTTGAGAACAGAACGAATATGTTTTCCTTCCCGCAAGCGATATACTGGGTGTTGTGTGTCTTTAGTTTTTATCAACTTTTATAATTTTTGTATTCTTTGTATTTTTTAAAAAAAATACAAAATAAATTAACTTAGATATAAGCTAATTCAGTAAATTATGGTAGCTTGATTGGCGCCAAAGAACTGAGCAGGTAAAGTTGAGAGAATGTATTCAATCCTTCTCAGTATTATCTTTAGGAGAGGTTTAAAACCTTAATTCCGAGATTCGCCACGAATCGGACTAGTCGCAAACCATGAACCGATTGGAATATCTCGAAAAAAATATATAAGCTAAATCATCAAGTTTTATAAAATATAGGATAAATTTATATTACGCAAGTTATTCAATCATGTTTTATATAATTCTTAATGCTTACATTATCAAGATAATAATGTTACAAATAATATAAAAATAAAATGCTACTAGTGAATACAAAGACATGTTAGAATATTGTCTTAGGTTGAACATCTTATAATTCAAGTCACATTTTCTAATCATAAGGCAATACCAGCAAATCTGAACTTAAAAGAGTGTCCCAATTGTTGGAACAATCAACACCACCCTTGTGGCAACCTATTTTGAGAATCCAATCTAGGAAGCCATCTTCTTTTCCTTGAACTCCAACCCAAAACATTAGTCTTCATTTTTCGCAGAAACAGAAGCTTCAACAGAATTCATCTTTCCTCTGTTACATTTCTTGGAACTATGTTCATGATTGGATTTGGATTCTTCAGCTGGAAAATGTTGGGTTTTTCTCTTTCACTAAAGCCCAATAGGACCTAGTGTGCAAGAATAGCACAAGAAACCTAAAATTCATTCAGCTTGGGGCTAAGGTTTCTTGAAACCCATATATATTCTACACTTATAGTCATCAGTCTATCTAGTCTTCACGAGGCTGACGTAAAGTCATTTCTCTAAAAGTGAGAGGGTGCCCACACATTTCCTATTTCCTCTTGAGACATAGTCTGGAAGATCTGCCATTGTCCAGCTTCAAGGAGGTTATTCGCGCTGCGGTGCTGAGGTGAGCAGTTCGTGAAGAGAAATCCTACATGGGAAGATTCTACACGAGATTTGCGCACCAAGAGGTAAATCAGTAAAATGATGATGATTCGTTTGCATCCCAAATCGCAATGGTCTAAAATGCTTCCGCTGATCCAATAATTCCTACAATTGGTATTAGAGCCAGATTGCGTGTTTGGATGTGGATCTAGTTTTGATTTACAATTTTTATGTAATTAGTTAGCATCGTGAAATATGGCACCTAGGTTTCTATATTTGTTATTATATATTGGTATGTGTATCCTTTATAATTCTTTTTATAAAAATCAATGCTTTTATTTGGTTTTTGGCTTTAATCCATGGTAGAGATTTGGTTGCATTTTCTTGGGTTGTAACAAGGAGGCTAATCCCTTATGATTAGGTTTCCTTCTTGGATTTTTATTTCAATTTTTTTATATATTTTCGTTGTATTACAAAATTATAATGAAAGAAGACCAAGAAGATGCAAAAAGAAGACATTCACGGCTATTTTGTACTTGTTCGTGATGAATATGACCTCCGATCAAAAATCCGAGATCGTTAAAAGATTCAGAATGGAAAATTGAGTCAAACGAATGTTAAATCGCGCAAAACAGAGGCCGAACACTCCCTCACTATCCACCGGAAGTCTCTGCGAGTGGGTTTCACTCTCCGGGGAAGATAAGGCGCGTGGGAGTGCATGCCAGCTCCGTTTTAGGTGATTTTGGTGGTCATGGCTTAGTCTCATCAAGGTGGTCTTGCCTGTAAAATTTGGATGAATCGGACGTCATACAGAGGCGCAATAGTCATAACGGCTAGGGTTTCCAAGAAAGAGGTTAGGTTTTCTTACCAGTTTTTGGTATTTTGGGCCTTTAAGCCCATGGTTGCCAGAAAGGTTTGAACCAAAACCTTATGGACCCAGAAAGAAGAAGAAAAATAATAGTGCAAGTCAAAGAATATTTTGGCCATCAAATATTGGCTTGTAATTTATTTTATTTTTTCTCTAAGAAACCATGATTTAAAGTTCATTTTATAATTGTTTTATTTTAATGAACGGGTGAATTGTATTGATAATATGCTTGATGTGATAACATGCGAGTATATGGTGACATATTGTTGCATAACTTGTTAAATGATTGTTATTTTGTACGACTAGATTAATAATCATTATGGTAATTAATGCATAACGAATTTAATAATTTAATCATTGTTATAATAATTATTTTGATTTCAAATTATCCTTATAAATGATAATTATTATGATTGCTGAAATCTAGATTAATAAATTAAGTCAATTATTTGGATGATTTAAATCTACAAAATAATTAAGAAAATTTCCTAAAAGAATAGTTTATTTTGTGAGTAATTTGTGGATCTTCTAAAATGGTCATATGTTAAACACACACTGCATACCACAATCATGTATCATGATTGTATGAAGCACAATCTGCCTATTATGATCGGAATTTAGGACCTTAGTGTTTTTAAAATTTCGATAAGCTAAGCGATGCACGTTCATTGGCGCACGTGCTTACATAGTTTTTAAAATAAAACAAAGGTTACTTTAACACCCCGTGTATACCCGGTTTGTTAACATGTCATCGTATTAAGCAACGCTTAATTTAAAATGCGGAATATCTTTTTCTTTCATTCAATTATGAAGTCATTACCATTACCAAGTTGGATTACTTAATTCATCTCCAAAACATTGCATGTATGTAATTTGCAAAAGACAGCTAACTGAAATACCTCAATAGATAAATAAGTGAGTATCTAAGTCAAGGATCTACAACATGTAGTCCGGACAATATCCTGATACATTAATACAACTCCAAACTAAAAACATAAAGTCAAGACAATGTGGCGTGGACAAACCTCATGCTTACCAAGTAACAACATAACCAACAGAGTCTCAACACAGTAATACATAAAGCTAATGACATAAACGCTACATGCATAATCCAGCATCCAAGCATAGACAACATACATAAGTAGATAAACATCAATCAACTAAGCTCCGGCCTCCTGCCGCTAGAGGTCTCAACCCCTGGGTTACCTGAACCTGAAATAAGCACCCAGACGTGGGGTGAGATCTCTAAACAGAAATCTCAGTAAGACAAGGGGTACTCAAGGATCTTCCACCCCAAGCTCACTTACATGTGCAATATAAGTTCAAAAGCAGGTATATGATATAAGTTCCAAAGTCAGTGTAATGCAACAGATAACCATGTCATGTGTGTCAAGATAGTCTACTGGCCAGAGAAATGCAGGATATACGTCTATTTCCTACAATCAGTGCAAGACGCCACTTGCACCCACCCACATAATCACAGTATTGTATGACGCCACATACTCAGGCTTACCGTCTAGATAGAACAACACATGCATATTATAAGGCCCTTACACTTAACAGTTCAAAAGCATTCCAATCATCAAAGCATGAAAACACATCATGCATATAAACCATTCCCTCATGGGGTATGGTGGAACCACGCAATGGCTAAACCGAGGACACAAAAGCTTACCTTTCAAGCTAACTATCCAAACCAAGAATCCAACCAAGCTCAAAGTCCACACACAGCACAATCATAATCTGTTTGGACCAGCAATCATATCAATAATCATACTCAACAAGCATAAGACACAAAGACAACGTCTTTCCTTTACGTTTCATGTCTTAAGGCTTCTCACAAAGCCACAAGCCCTTAATCACTTCATTCTGACTTAGGTTAATTACTACAGAAGTCCCACTTCATCAATCTAGGGTCCACAAACCCAAAACAGCCTTCTGTATGAACAGTGCAGCTACTATCCTTCGAAAACCTAGAATATCCGGATATATGTCGGGGGCATATCCGGATATCCATATTCGAATATCCATATCCGGATATCAATATCCGGATATTTCGCGACAGAATAAAGTTTCTGCATTTCGCGAGATATCACTTCCAAGGTTCCATTTTTAACACTTCTAAACATTAAAGCATGCATAATTACTCTCTTTTAAGTTCATATACTGATTGGTTACTAGTTTAACCCATTTACATGCCAAGACTCAACCTTTAATCCATTAAAGCTCATGATCAAGTTAAGGAACATACCTAAGGCTTCAAAACAAAAGCAAGAGGTGCTCTTGGAGCTCATTTGAAGCTCCCAAAGTTCTGACTTCTCAAGAAACGAAAATGATAAACAAATGTGGTTTCTTTCTCACCCAAGATGACTCCTTCAAGCTCAAAAAGCTAAGGTCATAGCTCCCTCAACAAGGTGCATGCACTCATCCCTAAGACTCCTTCACAACAATGACCAACACTCAGAAACAAATCACAAACACACTCACAATGCTCACTCTCACTCACATCAAGTGTTTGGGTGAAGATTTCATAGAAAAAAAGACCTCTTGGCTCAAGAACTGGAAAAGAGACAATGGAACAGTGTAAAGAGAAGCTGGTCAGTGTTGTGCAATTGTGTACCCCTTTATCAATCACACATTACGCAAGTGCACGTGTCAACAAGTAATAAAGTGGATGTGTGAGTCCAGATATCGTTCCCACGAAGAAAACTATAAAGTTGGGATCAATGTGAAGGCAATCAAGGTAACAAAGATAATTTGGAAGAGGTTAATGACTAATTAAACAATAAAACTAATAATTAACTAAAAGAATGCAATAATAAAATGGGCTTTCCAAGTATT